AATTTCACATTTTTGTCTTGAGTATTATTTCCTGTGGTAAGTGTGTGTGTGTGTAATAAGTCACACTCAGCAGTGTGGTATGAGAAGTTTGGGTCTTAGTCCTGTCCTTGGCTTATTCTCTAGAAATACTCCAGCGAGCCCAGAAAAGTACCCTCAGCTGAACACACACACACACACACACACACACTTGCAGTTTTTCAGGAAGTGGGAAGCATGTCAGACATATTTCTTTACACAACCAGACACACACACATTACTCACACATTAGTTACACACACACACACATTACTCACACATTAGTTACACAAACACACACACATTACTCACACATTAGTTACACACACACACACACATTACTCACACATTAGTTATACACAGCAGCTACATGTTAAAACCACACACACAGAACAGATCAGACTCTGAGACCTCTAAGGGAGTCATGACATCCCTATTATCATTACACCCTCTCCTAACATTGAGCTTCTGGGACAGAGAGGAGAGTGAGAGAAAATTAGCCCAGACATTTTTTTCCATGCTGTATTTTTCCATTCTTTCTTTCACTTGCTCTCTCTCTTTCCTCTCTCCCCGGCTTGGTTTCCTCTCTGGGTATCTGTCTGAGAGTAGGTGTCTCTGGTATCAGACACAGACAGATGGATGGAACAGTTCTGTCATTTTGACGTTGTTTTTCTCCATATTTAAGCTGCTTGGGAGGGATCACGAACTGAAACATCAATGCTAGAAGCATCAGCATTGTTTAATACAGAGATAATATCTCAATCCTAGAAGCATCAGCATTGTTTAATACAGAGATAATATCTAAATCTTAGAAGCATCAGCATTGTTTAATACAGAGATAATATCTCAATCCTAGAAGCATCAGCATTGTTTAATACAGAGATAATATCTCAATCCTAGAAGCATCAGCATTGTTTAATACAGAGATAATATCTCAATCCTAGAAGCATCAGCATTGTTTAATACAGAGATAATATCTCAATCCTAGAAGCATCAGCATTGTTTAATACAGAGATAATATCTCAATCCTAGAAGCATCAGCATTGTTTAATACAGAGATAATATCTAAATCTTAGAAGCATCAGCATTGTTTAATACAGAGATAATATCTAAATCTTAGAAGCATCAGCATTGTTTAATACAGAGATAATATCTCAATCCTAGAAGCATCAGCATTGTTTAATACAGAGATAATATTTCAATCCTAGAAGCATCAGCATTGTTTAATACAGAGATAAGTGGCTGAATTGTTTCTCTGGATCATGTGGAAGGGTCAGTTTGAGGCTGGCAGAGATGGACAAGATGGTTTTCTTTTTCTGACCTTCACTCATTCAAGAGAAAGAGAGAGAGCGATAAGGACAGAGAGTCCCCCCCCCCCCCCCCTCACTCTTTCCCTCTCCCTCTTTATGTGAGGTATTTGGACAGCTGTTGATGACTGCTGTGTGTGTGTGTGTAGGGGGGGGGGGGTTATATGGGGTTGTGACCCTGGTGTCTTGTTTAATACCTGACTCTGTGATCCTGATTGATAGCCAAACACTGTGGTATAGAGCGGCCCAGACTGTGTGTGTGAGTGTGGTTGACAGAGCAGTGCAGATGGATAATCTGTTATACAGAGAACCGAGAGGTCTAACATGTACTGTGTTGTATTATTTCTGCGCTCTCATTTAGTGTGTGTTATACAGTGCATTTGGAAAGTATTAAGACCCCTTGACTTTTTCCACATTTTGTTACGTTACAGGTGTATTCTAAAATGGATTAAATTGTCCCCCCCCCCAATCAATCTACACACAATACCCCATAATGACAAAGAAAAAACAGGTTTAGAAATGTGTGCAAATTTTATTAAAAAAAAAAAAATGGAAATATCACATTTACATACAGTGAGGGAAAAAAGTATTTGATCCCCTGCTGATTTTGTACGTTTGCCCACTGACAAAGAAATGATCAGTCTATAATTTTAATGGTAGGTTTATTTGAACAGTGAGAGACAGAATAACAACAAAAAAATCCAGAAAAACGCATGTCAAAAATGTTATAAATTGATTTGCATTTTAATGAGGGAAATAAGTATTTGACCTCCTCTCAAATAGAAAGATTTCTGGCTCCCAGGTGTCATTTATACAGGTAACGAGCTGAGATTAGGAGCACACTCTTAAAGGGAGTGCTCCTAATCTCAGCTTGTTACCTGTATAAAAGACACCTGTCCACAGAAACAATCAATCAATCAGATTCCAAACTCTCCACCATGGCCAAGACCAAAGAGCTCTCCAAGGATGTCAGGGACAAGATTGTAGACCTACACAAGGCTGGAATGGGCTACAAGACCATCGCAAAGCAGCTTGGTGAGAAGGTGACAACAGTTGGTGTGATTATTCGCAAATGGAAGAAACACAAAATAACTGTCAATCTCCCTCAGCCTGGGGCTCCATGCAAGATCTCACCTCGTGGAGTTGCAATGATCATGAGAACGGTGAGGAATCAGCCCAGAACTACACGGGAGGATCTTGTCAATGATCTCAAGGCAGCTGGGACCATAGTCACCAAGAAAACAATTGGTAACACACTACGCCGTGAAGGACTGAAATCCTGTAGCGCCCGCAAGGTCCCCCTGCTCAAGAAAGCACATATACAGGCCCGTCTGAAGTTTGCCAATGAACATCTGAATGATTCAGAGGAGAACTGGGTGAAAGTGTTGTGGTCAGATGAGACCAAAATCGAGCTCTTTGGCATCAACTCAACTCGCCGTGTTTGGAGGAGGAGGAATGCTGCCTATGACCCCAAGAACACCATCCCCCTGTCAAATATGGAGGTGGAAACATTATGCTTTGGGGGTGTTTTTCTGCTAAGGGGACAGGACAACTTCACCGCATCAAAGGGATGATGGACGGGGTCATGTACCGTCAAATCTTGGGTGAGAACCTCCTTCCCTCAGCCAGGGCATTGAAAATGGGCCGTTGATGGGTATTCCAGCATGACAATGACCCAAAACACACGGCCAAGGCAACAAAGGAGTGGCTCAAGAAGAAGCACATTAAGGTCCTGGAGTGGCCTAGCCAGTCTCCAGACCTTAATCCCATAGAAAATCTGTGGAGGGAGCTGAAGGTTCGAGTTGCCAAACGTCAGGCTCGAAACCTTAATGACTTGGAGAAGATCTGCAAAGAGGAGTGGAACAAAATCCCTCCTGAGATGTGTGCAGACCTGGTGGCCAACTACAAGAAACGTCTGACCTCTGTGATTGCCAACAAGGGTTTTGCCATCAAGTACTAAGTCATGTTGTGCAGAGGGGTCAAATACTTATTTCCCTCATTAAAACGCAAATCAATTTATAACATTTTTGACATGCGTTTTTCTGGATTTTGTTGTTGTTATTCTGTCTCTCACTGTTCAAATAAACCTACCATTAAAATTATAGACTGATCATGTCTTTGTCAGTGGGAAAACATACAAAATCAGCAGGGGATCAAATACTTTTTTCCCTCACTGTAAGTATTGATACCCTTTACTCAGTACTTTGTTGAAGCACCTTTGGCAGCGATTACAGCCTTGAGTCTTCTTGGGTATGACGCTACACGCTTGGCACACCTGCATTTAGGGAGTTTCTCCCATTCTTCTCTGCAGATCCTCTCAAGCTCTGTCAGGTTGGATTGGGAGCGTCGCTGCACAGCTATTTTCAGGTCTCTCCAGAGATGTTCGATCAGGTTCAAGTTCAGGCTCTGGCTGGGCCACTCAAGGACATTCAGAGACTTGTCCCGAAGCCACTCCTGCATTGTCTTGACTGTGTGCTTAGGGTCGTTGTCCTGTTGGAAGGTGAACCTTCGCCCCAGTCTGAGGTCCTGAGCGCTCTGCAGCAGGTTTTCATCAAGGATCTCTCTGTACTTTGCTCCGTTCATCTTTCCCTCGATCCTGACTAGTCTCCCAGTCCCTGCTGCTGAAAAACATCCCCACAGCATGATGCTGCCACCACCATGCTTCACCGTAGGGATGGTGCCAGGTTTCCTCCAGATGTGACGCTTGTCATTCAGGCCAAAGAGTTCAATTTTGGTTTCATCAGACCAGAGAATCTTGTTTCTCATGGTCTGAGAGTCCTTTAGACTGCCTTTTGGCAAACTCCAAGCGGGCTGTCATGTGCCTTTTACTGAGAAGTGGCTTCCGTCTGGCCACTCTACCATAAAGGCCTGATTAGTGGAGTGCTGCAGAGATGGTTGTCCTTCTGGAAGGTTCTCCCATCTCCACAGAGGAACTCTGGAGCTCTGTCAAAGTGACCATCGGGTTCTTTGTCACCTTCCAGACCAAGGCCCTTCTCCCCCGATTGCTCCGTTTGGCCGGGCGGCCAGCTCTAGAAAGAGTCTTGGTGGTTCCAAACTTCTTCCATTTAAGAATGATGGCGGCAACTGTGTTCTTGGGGACCTTCAATGCTGCAGAAATGTTTTGGTACCCTTCCCCAGATCTGTGCCTCGACACAATTCTGTCTCGGCGCTCTACGGACGATTCCTTCAACCTCATGGCTTGGTTTTTGCTCTGACATGCACTGTCAACTGTGGGACCTTTATATAGACCGGTGTGTGACTTTCCAAATCATGTCCAATCAAGTGAATTTGCCACAGGTGGACTCCAATCAAGTGTAGAAACATCTCAAGGATGATCAATGGAAATAGGTTGTACCTGAGCTCAATTTCGAGTCTCATAGCAAAGGGTATGAATACTTATGTAAATAAGTCATTTCTATAGTAAAAGTTGTATACATTTGCAAAAATTTCGAAAAACCTGTTTTTCGCTTTGTCATTATGGGGTATTGTGTGTAGATTGATGAGGAAAAAAACGAATTTAATCCATTTTAGAATAAGGCTGTAATGTAACAAAATGTGGGAATATTCAAGAAGTCTGAATACTTTCCTAATGCACTGTATCTGACCGTGTGTGTGTGTTCTCTCCAGGTTACTCCCTGTGTCTGGGTAAATCCTACTTCTTCCGCTTCAACCATCCAGAAGAGGCCAGCCGCATGAAGAGCATGCTGCCCCAGAAGAGCCCTGTCTCGCCCCTGGCCTACAGCACAGGTAACACACACACACACACACACACACTCGGCCCTACCCTCTTTCACCTCTGACTTCCCCTTGACCCCAGTCCTCTCTTCTCCTTTGTTCCCCCTCTATAGATCCCATATCAGCCCCTAGTCCCACAGTTCTCATATCACTTCCTCTCTCCCACTGTGTTAGGGTACAGTTACTGGTGGACCCCACCACGACAGGTGTGCGTGATTGAGACGTGGTCACGTGTAACTACTTTATTGAGGAAAAATTTACTTGTTATGACTCTGATATGTGGTTGTCTCACCTAGCTATCTTAAGATGACTGAACTAACTGTGAATCCCTCTGGATAGAGGGGACTTAGCGACTGCTAAATTACTAAAATGTAAATGTGAAATAAAGCATTCTTAGGTCCTTAATGTGTATGCAGATATCTTCATAGATATGTTTTTGCTGAGGCAGAGGGTCTTTGACGAGTCACAGGTTTAGAAACACAGACACACACAACTTAAACACACTTCTCAAGACGGGTGGAATGTTTTTCACATCTGGCGATAACTGTCATCGTGGTGATGCAGCTGTATTCCGCTGTAACCGTGGTGATTGATCTCTGCATTTGAACATGGTGTGTGTGTCTGCTGTATATCAGCGCTGCTCGCTCACTGTCTCTGCAGCTAGACAGCAGGAATGTACACACACAAATATACATCTGTATAGGGGTCTCTCACTCACACACACTGAACACAATTGTATAGCGAGCAGCCATGAGCTTTTAGGGTTAATAGTTTCGTAAAGATCAGAGTGAGCTGATATGAGCCAGACCTTAAAGGAAAATCTGTCCATATATGGAGCCCAGCGTGTGTATGTGTGTGTGTGTGTGTGTTTCTGACAGCGTCTCGAGACCTTAATGTCTTCTGCTTTCTGTCCCATTTCTCCCCCTCCTTACAAGGCTGAGGTTAAACCTTTCACACTAGGACCCCTCGCTCACACACTCCTACACACACTGTCATGTGTACACACACAGGACATGCACAGAATACACACTGTCATGTACACACTCTTCTAGGTAAACACACTTCGACATGTGGACACAGTAGCCACACACATGTCCGTCTACATTTAGTGATTCTATGTGTGTTTTGGAGGTTGTGTGTGTGTGTGTGTTATTGTCTTGACAGTATGTAAAGAGTGGTCCCATTACTCAGGGGAAAAATGGCTAACCTTCTTGTCTCCTTTTTGTTTAGCTCATTGATGAGTAAAATAACTAGGTTTCCTCTCCACTGCTTTCACCTACAGAGGATTTTCAGATCAGTGATGATAAAGGGGGGATTGAAGAAATTCCTGACCACTGAGAGGTTTTCTATTTCCCCAAAAAAACAATTCCCCAGGAAGTTGGTTGCTCTGCTACATTTAGAGACCGGAACTACCGTGTGTGTTAGTTTTAGATCTGAGAATAGGTGGGTGCGTGTGAGTGCGTTTTTGTGTCTGTGTGTGTTGGCTCTCGGGCCCTCTGTGTGTTATGGGCCATTTGCTGGCAGTTCTCTGTTGTTTGTGTTATGAGTGTCCTGCCAAGCCCAGCTAGGAATAGACTTAGCTGCAGGTACAACCACCGTATAACTTTCTCCTTTACTCTCAGACCAAAAGCACACATGGGAAGGCATGACCCACGTATACATAGAACTGTTGGCAGAACAATAATAACACCCTCAGACCTATAGGCTTCAACAGACTAAACAGATAATGGACAGAGAGCTAATGTAAATAATGTTTTTTTACTGTTCACTTAGTGGTGAAGATGGACACTGTTTAAATAACATGTCTTATGTGTATTTACTTTTGCTTTCTCCTCTCCTGTATCAACTGTTGCATTGTCAAGAAGGAACCTGCAAGTAAGCATTTCGTTGGACGGTGTATACCATGTGTATCTTGTACATACAACTAATACAACTTGAACTTGAACTCCTCTCCCTCCCCATCTCCTCCCTCCCTCCCCATCTCCTCCCTCCCTCCCCAGACTATCTGAAGTTCAGTAGTGACTACAGTCATGGGGTGGTGGGAGGGGCCGGCAGTGCAAGAGGGATGCGTTCTGCCTCAGAGCTCCGTGATTTGATGGACACCTTACAACGAAAGAAGATTGCCCTGGAGACCAGCCTGAGAGCCAATGGTGACTCTAGCCCCTCCTACTTCAGTATGACACAGGTATGACAGCTGTAGCTCTGAACGAACCCCAGCAGGACTGAGGCATGCGCTAGATGGACATGGTTTTACACTTCTAATGTATTTTCTCTCACACTCTCCCAGTCTCCGCCCACCACGCCTGTGACCTCACCCACCTCGATGTTGTCAGCCTATCAAGAGCAGGCTAGGCGTTTCTACGGCTCTGATCGCCCGCCCCTCTCCGGCAAAGCCGCCGCCCCTCCCTCCCCCTCTCGGCGCTCCGACCCCCCTTCCTCCCGATCCTCCATGACCCGGAACCAATCCTACCAATCACAGGACAGCCTGCTGGTGTCCTCTGGCGACGGGCGACGCCAACTAAACCCAAACTCCTCCCCCCTGTTGTCGATGTGGAACGGTGGAGGTTCCTCTAACTCGGTGGCCGGTGGTGAGAGCCTCTCCTCTCCTCCTCCATCCTCATCCCTCTCTCCATCCAGTGGAGCGGCCAGCGTGCCCTCCAGCCCCCGCCTGGGACGCCGAAGTCACGGCAACCATGAGTCGACGCCTAGCAACCGTACCAGGAAGTACTCTGCAGGATCGATAGGCAGCATGATGGGAAGTCACAGCCTCTCTCTGCCCCGCCTCTGCCCGTCATCGTCTCCACGTTCCCATGACAATGGAGCCCTGGCGCTCTCTACCCTCCCCCCGACCTCGCGGCGCTCTGAACCGCTACGCAACTCCTCTCACAACAATAGCCAAAACCACACCACAAACAGTAACTACAACCATAACCAAACCACTAACTTTAACTACAGCCAGGCACAAAACATGAACCACAAGGGGAACCAAGGCGAGGGGGTGGTATCCATCTCCCTCTCCTCCCCAAAGTCTCCCACCCAGGCCCCTCCAGACGTGACTGTCCCGTTCCGATCAGGGGGCTCCTCCAGCCCCCGCGTGGCCAAGAAACTCAGCCTCACCTCCACCAGCTCCACATCCAGCCTCCAGGAGCCAGAGTGGCCAGCCAGCTGCGGAGTCTCCCCAGGACCAGAGCTTTTTTTCGCGGAGAGGGAGCACAGGGGTGGCAGCCTGGAGCCTGGTCTAGGGTTAGGGGAACGGAGACAGTCTTTTGGGAAGGGAGGTATAGAGCCAGGTTTAGGGTTAGGGGAACGGAGACAGTCTTTTGGGAAGGGAGGTATAGAGCCAGGTTTAGGGTTAGGGGAACGGAGACAGTCTTTTGGGAAGGGAGGTATAGAGCCAGGTTTAGGGTTAGGGGAACGAAGGCAGTCATTTGGGAAAGGAGGGGTGGGGCTGGGGGCGGGGGTGACCCCACCGGGGGGGTTCAGGGCGAGGAGTGGCAGTATCAGCTCCCTGAGTGGGAAAGAAGAACTGACTGACTACCATCATCGCCAGAGAGATGAAAGACTACGAGAACAGGAGGTGGAGAGACTGGTGAGTAGTGTGTGTCTTTGTGTGTGTGTCTTTTTTAAAATATCTGAATGAAATAGCAATGCTATGAGGAACAGGATAGCATCTACCTCCTTAACACACTTCGGGAGCTGCACTGTTGGGGCGTACACACACAGATGAATATGCACGTACACGCACATATGTTCGCTCAGGGTTCAAGTTCAGTACTAAGGCAGATGCCTCTGGCTGCTAGCCTATGTTAACATGCTTAGCTATTCTTACTCCTCCACTGGGTTGGGTCCGGTTTAGAGGAAAACACTGGCTTTTTTGGGCCCTCTGTGGTTCTGTGTGTGTGGTTCCGTAAGTGGGGCCATCTGGAGTTCCGCCCAGTTGGTTGGTTTGGATCGTTTGGAACCCATAACAGAACCGTCAGACGTGGGCTAGAACCAGATTTAGGGCAGGTGGATACACTCTCTCTCTCTCTCTCTCGCTCTCTCTTCTTCTGTCACACACAAAGTAAACAGCGCTAAGTCCAAAATAAAGTTGTGCAGCCACATAACTACACCGGTGGCTTTCATACAGGTGTTGGGCAACATAAACGTCCTTTGAGGTGTGCTGAATATTCCCAGAGGATCATTTCTGAAATTATTTTCCCTAGCAACGTAAATGCTGCCTTCATGGGAGAACACACAAAGATGTCGGAAACACACATCTATGCACCAATCACTGAACAGAATTAGGCTTTATCTCAATAGTGTAAAATAGCTTCCTCTCCTTCATCTTCGCTATTGTAGACTATTGAGATACATCTCCTCTGTATGCTAACTGTCCCACTGGTGGATCCACTCTGCCCTCTAGGGGTGGGACAGGAGAACTTCACTACTACTCTGTCCCTGATTTCACTATTGGGACTTTCTCCCTCCAGCTGCAGAGAGAGAGATAGAGAGAGAGAGAGAGAGAGAGAGAGAGAGAGAGAGAGAGAGAGAGGAATATAGAACGATATAAGAGAAGAGATGCGAGATAGTAGAGCGAGGAGAGAGATAGCGACGAGATCTCTCCGCTCAGCGCTCTCTCTCTTCTCGCGCTCTCGCTCTCTCGTCACTCATCTCGCGCTCTCTCTCGGCTCTCTCTCTCTAGCCTCGTCTCCTCTCTCTCGCTCGCGCGCTTCTCGCTCTCTCTCTTCTCGGCTTCTCGCCTCTCTCTCCCAACTCTCGCTCGCTCTCCGCCTCTCTCTCTCTCTCCTCTCTCTCTCTTCTCGCCGCGCGCCCTCTCTTCTACTCCTCGTCTCTCTTCTTTCTCTCTCTACTCTCTCTGTACTCTTCTCTCTTTTCGCTCTCTCTCTCTCCTCCCTCTCGTCGCCTCTCGCTTCTCTCCTCTCGTCGCGCTCGTATCGATTTCCCTTTTTTCCTTATCCCTCTTTTCCCTCCTCTTCCTTGAAATGTCTTTATTCTTTTGGAACTTTTTTGAGTGTAATGTTTACTGTAAAAAAACTAAACATCACTTTTGTTTATTATCTATTTCACTTGCTTTGGCAATGTAAACATATGTTTCCCATGCCAATAAAGCCCTTAAATTGAATTGAGAGGGGTGGGAAGAGACAGGGAAGGGGGAGAGAGAAAATGGAGGAGGGCAGAGGGGGAGATTGTGAATGGGGATGGGAGGGAGGGAGGGAGGGAGGGAGGGAGGGAGGGCAAGATGGGGAGAAAGAGTGAGAGGGTGTAGATCAGGAGAAAGGGATGGTGAGAGGAGAGGAAGGATTACATTTCCATATTTCTATATCAGTATATCCTCTCCTCTCCTGTGGGTGCCAGGGCTGTTTGTGATCAGATCAGGTTACACCCAGAGCCAGTTGCTGTTATTAACGGTACTCCTTCACCTCCTTTTGTGTAGCAGGTCTACAGGGGTTTGTCTCCATTAGGACTGAATCAGGTGTCAAATTGACAGAGTATTGCTTTACTCTGCTACTTGTTGACTGACTGTTGTTTAGTATTGGCCTCTGTTTGTGTGTGTGTGTAGGTGTGTATGCATGTGGGATGTATTTCTAGTCTCTCTCCTGTGTGCGTGCGTGTTTGGGATATATTTCCAAAGTTGTATGTAGTATGTTGGGCTTTTCCGGTTGGAGATTCTGATTCAGAGCCAATAACATTCACAGGAAAGCCTCCTGCCACCTCTTCTCTCTCACACTCACACACACGCATGCTCTCTCACCCTCTCTTCCGCTCTCTCTCTCACTGTATCTGATAGCAGTCACTCAGTTCTCGGGGCGATGTGGTTTCTAGTTTCTCTCACCTGCAGCAGTGCATTGCAGATAGCAGCCCACTGTCTTAGTGCATTTCTATAGCTAGTTCAGTAGCACAGCGCTAGTAGTTAGTTAGTAAATTAGTAGTTAGTTAGTTAGTTAGTTAGTTAGCTATAGGTTTAGTTTGTGTTATTGTGGGCTGTTGTTATTCTCTATGAGGGAAATATAAGGGCTATGAGAAAATTCTGTTTCCTCTATGAAGATCTGTGAGTGTGTGAGGAGTAATGCTCCTAACGGCAGCCATGCTTCCACAGGTAATATCTGTGTATTTGGCTCTCAGTTGGACATAGATAAGCATACATGTTTTTGCTTTCTTTGCTGTGTGTGTGTGTCTCTGTACATATATTTCAAAGTGTGTCTGTGTGTGTAACTCTAAGTACGTATTTGTATGGGCTTCTAACTGTGTGTGTGTGTGTTGTAGGAACGCCAGCGGCTGGAAACCATTCTGTCTCTGTGTTCAGAGCTGGGTCGATCGGAGCAGGACAAGGAGAGGGGTGTTGGTTCTAGTGTCGGTACCAGTGCTGGTCTAGCCGACCTTCAGAAGATCAACCGGGAACTAGAGAAACTCCAGGTCTCTGACGACGATGAGTCAGAATCCGTCTTCTCCGACTCAACCGTTAACGGAAATGGGGCCGGTAGCGACTCGGAGAACGGTTACTACGGTAACGACGAGGAGCGTCCGGTCCGACAGCGACGGAGCAGCGGCCACCGTGACAACCGGGCGGAATCGCCGGCCATCAGTCTACGAAGCTCTGCCACCTCGCCCACCGTGCGCCTGCCGAGGACCAATCAGGTGAGAGTTCTTCACTTTCTCTCTCTCTCTTTTACTTTCTCTCTCTCTCTCTTTCTCCCCTTTTTTATTTGATCTCTTGTTCCCTTTCTCCTGTACTTCTTTCAGCCAACCTCCCTGTGTCTCTCTCACATACACACACACAGAGATACATACGGTGCTACTGCTGTCCTTCCTCTGAGTAAAGCTTAATTAAGCCTTGTTAAATGATTGACAGGAGGCAGAGTGTTTATCACCTGGCAACCTGTTAACGAGACCTCTGGTCAGGCAATCCTTACACAGGCCTAATCAAGCTTAATAACAGCCTATGAAGCTTTATGCAGCTCAATGTAGCTTCTCATGACTAAATGAGAGTTAAAGGAGAGAGAGGAGAGTGGTAGAGCGAGAGGTAGAGAGAAAGAGAGCTCCCCTCTCACTGTAAACAGAAGAAAACACACACTAGCCCTGGCCATGTTTCAACCCCTCCTTGTACATTCCTTAGTTCTGATGTGGAAACTCCTCTGAAATCTGACTTACTTTACCATTTAAGGTCCACATACTGTATTTTCCCTACTCTCAAAAATGTATTCTCTTCTTAAACCTCCACAGCGACCTATTGTTTTAGAGGTCAGGGTTGTTTGCTGTGGTGAATTAGTCTTCTATTTAACTGTGTGAGAACCCGGAGGGCTGGATACTGTAAAGCTGGGTTGCTGTTAGAGGAGGTCAAACACATGAGATATTTACAGTCTGGTTATTAGATTAGAGAGTGCTAAGGATAGCAATCTAAGGTGGGCAGCTGGCGTGTGTGTGTGTGTGTGTGTGTGTGTGTGTGTGTGTGTGTGTGTGTGGATAGCAAAATCAGTATGAACAGCTGCATAGTTTCTGGTGAGTAATTGAAGTTACTCTATAGATAGCTTAATTGGTTGGATTTAGCTATCATGTTAACACCTAGAACTTTTCTATAAACCATAGTGTTTTTCACCCCTCATTCTGGACGACCTGTAGCTTTTGTTCCAGCCCTGCACTAACACACATGATTCAACTAATCATCAAGATGTAGATAAACGGAATTGGGTTGGTTAGTTCTTGGCTGGAAACACACTCACTCCCTGTAGCTCTCCAGGACCAGTGAATAAAGAACATAGCATAGATTCCATTGTGAGAGTGTGTTGTCATCTTTAGGCGCCGGTGGAGGAGGGCCAGCGGAGGCAGGAAGTGACCCGTGTGGAGGAGGAGAGGATCCAGGTGCTGAACAACATGGAGGAGCTAGAACAGAAGATCAAAGAACTGGACAACCAGATGGACGAGTCTCTCAGAGAGGTAGAGGAAGGCAGGGAGGGGGGGAGGGAGATGGGAGAGGGGGAGGGAGATGTAGGGAGGGAGAAGGAGGTAAAAGAGGTAGAGATAGATAAAGCCTAACTCCCTCTTTCTCTCCATCCAGGTGGAGGTGGAGCGCGCCCTGGTGGAGGCGGAGCAGCAGGCGGAGCTAGCAGCCCTGCAGCAGGAGAGAGATGCTCTGGAGACACTCAACACCAAGATGTCCGACATGGAACAACAGGCACAGAACCAGAAGACTCCGGTAATACCACTGTGTAATAACACGGGGTCAACTGGGATCAACTCAACATGAGGGAGGGAGAGAGAATGAGTGAGAATAAAAATGTTTGTGTGTGCGTTTGTGCTGCTACATGGAGTTTGTGAGAGTATGTGGTGTCATAAGCACTGTGTGCAAATGTAATGTGAGCATGCTGCAGTATGTATTCTGTAGCCACACCCAACGATACATTGATTGACATGTGACTAGCTGACTTGGTATGTGTAAATCCTTGTCATGCTGTCTCCGGTCCAAATATACAGCCGTTAATACACAACCGGGTATAGCGGTCACTACCCTAGCCTATCACACACACAGGGGGAGTGTGTGTGTTATAGTGAGGTTCTACTAAAAGATTGATTACAGGGGAATGAAGTGGGGTAGGGGAATGAAGTGGGGTTGGATGGATAGGAGGAAGTATGTCTGTGTGTTGGCACCCTGTTCTCCTCTGGGTCGTGTTCAGGCCTGCTTCCGGAGAGTTCCATTAGAGAGAGAGAGAGACTCTTCCCCTTAACAATTTTGGTGATTGCAGATCTGATGAAAGGAAGACAGATAAGGACCAGTTGAGAGAAAGAAAAAAATAAAGTTGTCTAGTTTCACACATACTGTTTCTAGTCAGTTAGCCAGTTTCTGCTGTGTCTGGGCAGCTTGAACGTCTTGGACTATTGGTGGTCTGTGTGGAAGACCCCTTTCCCTCTCACAATAACTCTCATCATCCCCAACCCACCGCTGTGTCAGTCCTCCCCCCTCCCTGCCCTCTAGTTCATTCTGCTTTCCTGACCACTGTAACACTGTAGTAACTAACTGCCTCCCTACTCTCACTAACGCTACCATCCTCTCTCCCTCTCTGTCCTGTGTCTGCTTGTCATTCCTGTGTGTGTGTGTGTGTACCTCTGCGTACATATGCACGTGTGTGTGTGAGCGTGCTTGTATGCTTGTCGTCCATCCGTCTGTGTGTGTGTGTGTCCATGTATGTGTGTATGTGCTTGCGCGTATGCTTGTTGTGTGTGTGTGTGTGTGTGCCAGGTGTGTGTGTCGCTGCAGGCTGAGAGGGATAGGGTAGAGCAGCTGTCTCAGAGTGTGTGTGAGCTGCGCTCCCAGCTCCACTGCTGTCCTGAGGCCATGAAGGAGCCCCTACAGGAGCAGCTCGCCAGGGTCAGTACACACACACACTTCCTGCTAAAATAAACCACTTCCTGTGACACACACCTTCCCCACCTGTTCACTCCTCTTCCTCCTTCCCCCTATCATTTGTCTGCAGGAGGGTCTCTCTTCCTGTCTCGCTCTTCCTCCTTACCTCTCCTCCTGTCTGTCAGTTTCAGTATGTCACATCATGTCCTTCAGAAAGCGCCACACTCTCAGCCTGCTCATTGGGGTAGTAGCTGTTTTTTGATGAGGAAGCATGGTTGTATGGTATGTTTGGCAAGAGCATGCCTTGGTATGGGTGTGTGTGTGTGTGTTTGTTTGTGCGTGTGTGACTGAATGCTCTCTCCCTCATGCAGAAAATAGTGATTAAACATTGAACACTTGCGGACAGCCAAAATGTTACAACACAATCTGAGAAAAACGTGCGTGTGTGTCAGGACTCTGAGGTACTGGAGGCTGAGACGAAGCGTTTTGAGGACCTGGAGTTTCAGCAGCTGGAGAGAGAGAGTCGTCATGATGAGGAGGAGGAGACAAACACACAGCACCTCCTCAGAGAGATCGCTGACTACCAACGCAGCTCCGTCACACGCAAGGTACGCTGTGTGTGTTAGAGTACGTGTGTGTTTTGTGTGTGTGTGTGTGTTCAACTGTGTGTGTTCAACTGTGTGTGTTCCAAGGAGAGGCTGGTGGCCCTAAAAAAGCAGGCGGGCCAGATTACCCAGCAGGCTCAGCGAGAGAAGGACAGCTTCCTGAAGGAGAGGACCAACCTGCAGATGATGCTGCAGAGGGTATGTATGCACAGTGTGTGTGTTTATGTTTGTGAGTGTGTGTGTGTGTGTGTTTTGCGACAGTCGATTGATTTCAGTCCTAATTGCTATTAAAGTCTCTCTCTCTCTCTCTCTCTCAGGAGAAAGATAACCTTGCCTCTCTGGAAAGGATGTATGCTGACCTCACAGGTGGGCAGGGCTTCCCTCTCAGCCCTATCAGTCTCAAGGAGGTATGTTTGACTTTTGCCTAGCAACCATCTCCATTCCCACCCATGGTCCCCCTCGTCTCACTGTCTTCCTCCTCTCATATCTTCCTCTCCTTTCCTCCTTTCGTGTTTCCTAGGATACGGCGTTGCTGGCTGACGTGTGTCGATCTCCTAGCGACCAGTCCCGTGACCACGCCTCTTCCTCTCTTTCTTCTCTTATCCTTCCTGCTGACCTGCTGGTCCTCTCCTCCCTCCTTTCCTCTCTTTCCATAAAGAGCGCTGAGGTACTATGTCCTCCCTCCATCTATCTCTCATCCCTGCCCCCACCTCTCTCTCTCTCCATCATCCCTAGTCATTTAAAGTAACTTTCCAGTGTTTCCAGATTTCTATTAAATATTACCTATAATTAATGACAAATAGTTACAATTAATTACCAAAAATGGTAATTGAGTATGTTAAAAATAAGCTTTTCGGTGTTGGATTGGTGTGGACGTACCCTAACAACAGAATGGTGTGGGTGTATACCGGTAGACTGCTGATAGGATGACATCATCTTCTGAGGAAATTGCAAGCATTCTTTAAACTGTCTGTTTGAGATACAAGTTTGAGGTGGAGTTTTTTAAGTGTTTTTTTCTCCAATTTATACTTTGGCCACAAATACGAGCATAGGACTAGTCAACAACACTATTTGGGTATGCGTTAACTGAATTTAAAAAATGAGAGTTTCACTGGACAGTTACTTTAAGCTAGTGTTTCTTAACCTTTTTAGAACAAGGGACCAAGATTTTATGGTTCAAAACTATAACATGAGAACTAATGGAATGAGTTGTGTTGTGTGATGGACAGTTTCTGGTAGATCCAGGAATCTTGAGGTTGAGAAGCACTTTTTACAGGCCATTTTAAAAACACCTCCTCCTCTTGTCTTCCATTTATACAGTGATAATAACACATTGCACTGGTAACAAATTGGCCTTTAAGGATGTTCCTATTGTTTATCTTTAACCTTCTCTCTTAATTAATTGTCTATGTGAAACTAATGGAACATGTTTAACATGCATAACAGTACAGCTCTGTCTCTGATGCTGCAGTTTGTAACTGACCAAGCTAACATGTTTTAACATGGCTGAATCTCCCTCTCTCTCTTTCTCCCTCTCTCTATCTCTCAACCCCCCTCTTTCTTTAATCTCTCTCTTTTAATCTCCCCCTCTTTCCCCTTATCTTTCACCATTGCTTCTGCTTCTCTCTCGCCTCTTCATCTCTACCCACTTCTTCTCTCCCACATTTTCCCTCATGATATGTTCCAGGGCTATGTAACAGTCAGTGAGATCAATGAACTTTACTCCCAGCTGGGGGGGAACCCTAGTCCCGCCCCTGCCCCTGTTCTGGCCAAACCCTCCCCTGATTCTGAGCCTAGCCCCTCCCGTGACGACAGCGCCCCAAAACCAGCGGAGGACGAGGTGTGTGTAAGGGGCCTGTGTGTGTGTGTCTGAGTGCATTCAGTTGGTCAGTAGGTGTGTGTGTGTGTGTGTGTGTGTGTGTGTGTGTGTCTGAGTGAGGGTAGTGTGTGCTGCTTGTGTGGAGGAGGATAACTGTTGTCCGCTGTACTCTCTCTTCTTCTTTAAGCTCTGTCGCTCCTCCTCTCCTGTCGACTGTCCTTCTTCCTCCTCCTCTTCCTCACGACCCCTATTGCCCCGCCGCCCCCCTCTCACCAAAACCCCCTCGGTTCATTGGCCGGAGGACATGGTGACCTATCGTGACCCCTCTCCCCTCCCTGACTCTCCTCCTCCTCTGCCTGTCAAAAAACACCGCCACAATAGGCAGGTAAAGGCTGTGTGTTTTGTGTTTTGTGCTGTTGTGTGTGTGTGTGTGTGATTCTGACTATTGTGTGTGTGTTCAGCACTTCCGTTCGCTGGAGGAGAGAAAGAGGTTAGTGAAAGAAGGTGGGGCCCACCTGAGTGACACATTACCCAGGAAGAAGACCACGTCCATTGTCACCCCTCAGTTCAGCTGTGCTACACTAGGACGCAGCATGCCTAACAAGGTACACACACACACACACACACACACACACACACACACACACACAATCAATCACCTTTAATCTCTCTCTCTGGTCCTCCACAGTCCCATCAGCCCCTGGTCCAGAGTTCTAGCTGTGGCAGTATTCTACCCCGGGCCATGTCTGTCTCCTCCAGTAGAGACGCAGATAAACGCCGCCTGCACAAGGGTGAGGACACACACACACCCGCCACCCATTACACCTCACACATGTATCATACATGTGAAAATGAAGTAGTGAGAGGGGAGGGAAGAGGAGTTTGTCTAGGAGAGTTGTCTGTCACGCCACCAGTGACCCTCAGGATAAGTTAGTCACACAGCTTACCTTATAAGGCAAAGGTTTCAACCCATAAGATGTATCATCAGATGTGTGTGTGTGATTGGTGGATAGAAGCATGGTTTGTTTATTTGTTTGTGGAGATAGTTGAGGAGAGGCAGGAAATGCTCTCTGCTGTTGTGAAGCATCCGTGAATAGGTCCTAGTAACCCATTGGATAACGTGTGTGTGCGCGTGTGTGTGTGTTGTGGTGAGATTGAAGCATGTCCCTTGGGCTGGGTGTGTCTCTGACCCTCTTTGGGTGATGGTATCAGGCTTCCTGTGTTTTTGTGTGTGTGTGTCTTTCCTGTACCCAACTGTAGTGTGATACGTTATTCCCTTCGTAGTGACAGTCAGGTTGGAGGTCCACTGGTTGTGGTTGTTAATTTTGTTGTGGCTGGGCAATTATTTTTGGACTATATGGTTTTGGACATTGTTATTTGGACCTTTTGGTTGTGGTAACTTTTTTGCACCTTTAGTTTGCTGTGTTTTAACCGTGGCTGGTCAGTGTGATCAGAGGGAGGGCCATCGCTCTGTACCGTACGGTCAGACTGTGGTCCCTGAGGTGGGGAGTGGTCATGGAGAACAGGGCTCAGTGCAGGGAGGGGCACAGACAGGTAACTCGATGGTTTACACACATCAAATACACATCAAACATGCACAGCTTTCTCTCTCTCTCGCGCTCTGTTTTTTAAATCTTTTTTATCCTCTCTTTCTGGTCTCTGTTCTCTCGCTCTCTGACCCTGTGTGCTTTGGTAGTGGTTTCTCTCTCTCTGACTGTGTGGTCTTGTTGTGGTCCAGGTCAGCCGAGCTCTCGGGCCGCCTCCCAGTCCAACGTGTACCTGGACACCTACGGTTACCGTGATAACGGCCAGGCATACGACACCATGAGCGTGGACAGCTCTGACTCAATGGAGACCAGCATCTCTGCCTGCTCCCCCGACAACGTCTCCTGGTAGATGGCTGTGTGTGTGTGTGTGTGTGTGTGTGTGTGTGTGTGTGTGTGTTCAGAGGCTGAATGTGCATACCGATCATATGAAGTCAGTTTTTCATTTTCTATAATGTGAAACATGGAGGGGGAGAGAGAGGGAAAGGGAGTGAGATGAATGTTCATGCATGTTGAAACGTTTGTGTGCATTTGTGTAGAGCTAATGTAAAAAGTGTGTTTGCAAACGGACCCATAGCTCTCCCGCCATTTAGGCTCCCTCCTCGGAGGGATTTGGAGGTTAGGGGAGTCAGGTTACAAGCGGGGATAGCTATCGAGCGGAGGTAGATTTGGGGTTCAGCCCCCCTTTGGGGTGAAATCATGTGTTCTGCATGTAGAGCGCTCTCTCTCACTCTCTCTGTCTCTGTATCTCCCTCTCCCTCTGTATCTCTCTCTCGCTGTGTCTGTATCTCTCTCTCTGTATCTCCCTCTCCCTCTGTATCTCTCTCTCTCTGTGTCTGTATCTCTCTCTCTGTATCTCCCTCTCCCTCTGTATCTCTCTCTCGCTGTGTCTGTATCTCTCTCTCTGTATCTCCCTCTCCCTCTGTCTCTCACTCTCTCTGTCTCTGTATCTCTCTCTCTGTATCTCCCTCTCCCTCTGTATCTCTCTCTCGCTGTGTCTGTATCTCTCTCTCTGTATCTCCCTCTCCCTCTGTATCTCTCTCTCTCTGTGTCTGTATCTCTCTCTCTCCGTCTCTCTCTGTCTGTCTGAAGAGGGTTCAGTCCAGCTCTACATCCCTAGGTTTTAGATGGGTTAGTCTGTTTCTGCACAGCACAGGTTTCTGTGGTCAAGACATTGGAGCTGCTTGCTTGGTTCTGTGCACCGTGGAGCTTTCATCGACACAGCAAAGCACAATTAGGTTCTGTGGTTTCATTTCGCATTGGACTGGACTGAAGGTAAAACTGGATTGGTTCTGTAAACTCACGGCACAGATTCTGTTTTCTGTGGGTCTTGGCTCTGGCTGGTTCTTTTTGGGTTAAATTGGACTGGACTAGCTTGGAGCATCTGACTGGACCATGAGCTCCGTTCCCTCTCATCAACGCAGGTAAGCAGGAGTGAAGGCGAGGGAGATTCTGGAGGAGAGAAAGAGTGATGGAGAGGGGGATGTGGAGATGAAGGAAGAATGACTTGATAAAAAGATAATGTTTCTGTTGGAAAAATAGAAGAGATATGGAGGCGACTGGGGTAGAGCGGGAAAATGGTGTACGTGTGTGTGTAAAGCAAGGCTTGTTTAGACTGGGATTAATGTGTACCATTCATCTCATCGATGTTGTGACATCCGCAGAGAAACAGACAGGATATCAATTTACCTGGGGGCTGGACGAAAGAGGGGGGGTTGGGGTGAAGAGAAGTAGATTGAACTGGACATGAAAAGAGAGAGTTATGCTCGCTTGTTATGACCGTCAAAACCAAAACCGCCCGTCATGTTGTCATTTGTTGATACAGTGAGATCGGTTGTCATATGTACTCCAGCTGTGACTGCCTCGATTAATGGGACTGAGGGGGAATGAAATGAGAGGGAAAGAGAGAGGGGGGAAAAAGTATTTGCAAATATGAGAGAATTATTTTAAGAGAATGCAAAAGCAATTGAAGAGAGAGAGAGAGGGGGATAGAAAGGTGGACTGAGCTTCAGGTTGCTTATATTTCCTGGCTTGCGTTCCTGTTGGATTACCTCTCTGATCCGCATGGCACTGTAATCACACACACAAACACACACACACACACACACACACACACACAGTGCTCCAATCAGGATAATTCCCAAAGGAGTATCCATGTAGCCTCGGGAATGGAACACCATATGGAATACTGCATCTCTGTAAAGCCATCACTGGAGTGACGTGTGTGTGTGTATGTGTGTGTGTGTACTAGTTGTCAGTTATGTGAGGGAGAGGCCTCTTTCTGAGAGGAAAAAAAGTGTCTGCTAAATGATTAAAATGTAAGAGAAGAGATGTCGAGAGGAGATTGAGATGAGGAAGGGGTAGAGAGAGAGAGAGATGGGAGGGAAGATAGTTGAGAGAATGATAGTGGGAGAGTTAGAGAAAGGAATGAAGCATTATGGTAGAGATTAAAAAGAGATGGAGAGAGGAGTTAGAGGGGACGGTCAGACAGACTTATTCCAGGTGTTTCTTTTGAAGTGGAAATGAAAAGCATCAGACTGTGCTGAGACACACACACACACACACACACGTCCAGGCTTGTTCTAATATGTTCCAGCAGGGCCCAGTCTTAATGACCATGTGTGTTCCATGGGAAGAATAAGTCCTGTACTGCATCATTCCCAGCCTGTAGAATGTCTGTTTGTGTTGCAGTGCCAGTACGTCCAACGTGACCAAACTGGAGGAAATGGAGCGTCTGTTGAGACAGGCTCAGGCAGAGAAGAATCGCCTCATAGAACACAAGGTAACATACACACGTGCACAGACAAACAAACACACACACTGACATCTAAAGTAATGTGTGTGTTGTGTCTGGTGCAGGAGCAAGAAATGGAGTCACGCAAACAGGCTCTGGAGGAAGAGAGGAGAAGGAGGGAGGATCTAGAGAAACGACTGCAGGAGGAGACCAACCGACGACAGAAACTCATCGACAGGGAGGTGAAACTACGGGAGAAACAGAGAGCACAGGTAAGAGAGAGAAAGGGCTAAACAACTAAACAATAGGCATACATTTTCATTTGACATTTTAGTCATTTAGCAGATGCTCTTATCCAGAGCGACTTACAGTTAGTGAGTGCATAATTTTTTTTTTCTTCATACAAAACAGTAGCTCTCCAGGACTAAGATTGGTGACCACTAGAGTAACCTTTAACCCCTGTCCCCACAGTCCCGTCCACTGACGCGCTACCTGCCAGTTCGTAAGGATGACTTTGACCTGAGGGCCCATATAGAGTCAGCGGGCCACAGCGCTGACACCTGTTTCCACCTGTCCCTCACGGAGAAGACGTGCCGAGGATTCCTGGTCAAGATGGGGGGAAAGATCAAGACCTGGAAGAAACGCTGGTTTGTCTTTGACCGCAACCGACGAACACTCTCCTACTTCTCAGGTAAAGACCGGACAGTGACCATGGACTGGAGTGTGAGTAACACACACAACACAAAGTCAGAGTCTTCTGGTCTGCTTGTGTGTTTCTAACTTTTGTGTGTTTTGTCTCTGCTGCAGACAAGCATGAGGCCAAGCTGAAAGGGGTCATCTACTTCCAAGCAATAGAGGAAGTTTACTATGACCACTTAAAGAACGCACACAAGGTACCTACTCCTTTCTTGTGTGTGTGTGACACATCCTTCTTTTAAATGCTGAATCCTTGTAGCCTGTATCTAATCCCTCTCCCCCTCTTTCTCTCCCCCCTCCAGAGTCCTAACCCGTGTCTGACGTTCAGTGTGAAGACTCATGACAGGGTCTATTACATGGTGGCCCCCTCTCCTGAGGCCATGAGGATCTGGATGGATGTCATCGTCACCGGGGCCGAGGGATACACCCAGTTCATGGTGTAGGAGGCTTGATCTGTCCGCGTCAGAGGGATACACTCAGTTCATGGTGTAGAAGGCGTGATATGGCCCCAGCAGAGGGATACACTCAGTTCATGGTGTAAAGAGTGGTGCTTCGGAGTGGAGGGATACAGCCAGTGTGTGGTTCCAGCGCCAGGACGAGCTCCTCTCTCTTCTCTGTGATCTCTCTCTGTGACACAGATGGACTGTTGTTCTTATTTCTGTATTTGATTATTATAAAACTGTCCAAGGACGTGTTCTCTAACAGCGTGCCTTAACTCTCACAGTAGAGAGCTCCACTGGGATTGGCCAGTGTTTTTATGCATCATTAGTAGACAAGCAAAACAGAACGGTCATTTCACTTCCTGGTCAGGCGGCAAGTTACTGATATTTACTCATCCCCAAAGACCTCAGGTCTCGTGTGTGTGTGTGGGTGTGTGGGTGTGTGTTACATTGTGATCACATAACCCAGAGGTGCTAATCTTTTTGTATGGGATCTTTTCTCATGAGGCCAATGTCCTCCATTGTGTCTTCCAGTGTACCAAAGGTCAAGTCATCTGTGGTAAAAGACAATACCCAAGGCTGCTACTTGGGTATTAGGTTGTCATTGAGATGCAGCTTTATACATGCCAGTGGTATATTAAGTACAGGATCATATCATCCCATAGGTTAACCCTCACAGATTATAATCATGCTGGTCGAGCTTTCGCTGCTTATGTTATCATTCACTAACCAGATAGCTATATGTTAGCTGTGAGTTGTATTTATCAATTGCCTTGTTTTATGTTGAGCAGCCTTGGCATATAGGCTTACTGTATGTTAGTGCTCAGTCATGATGCTTTTCCTTCCCACCATCATATATAGTACCAGTCAAAAGTTTGGACACACCTACTCATTCCAGGGTTTTTCTTTATTTTTACTATTTTCTACATTGTAGAATAATAGTGAAGACATCAAACTATGACATAACACATATGGAATCATGTAGTAACCAAAAACGTGTTAAACAAATCAAAATATATTTTATGTGAGATTCTTAAAATAGCCACCCTTTGCCTAGATGACAGCTTTGCACAGTCTTGGCATTTTCTCAACCAGCTTCATGAGGTAGTCACCTAGAATGCATTTCAATTAACAGGTGTACCTTCTTAAAAGTTAATTGGTGGAATTTCTTTCCTTCTTAATGCGTTTGAGCCAATCAGTTGTGTTGTGACAAGGTAGGGAGGGGGTATACAGAAGATAGCCCTATTTGGTAAAAGACCAAGTCCATATTATGGCAAGAACAGCTCAAATAAGCAAAGAGAAACGACAGTCCATCATTACTTTAAGACATGAAAGTCAGTCAGTATGGAACATTTCAAGAACTTTGAAAGTTTCTTCAAGTGCAGACGCAAAAACCATCAAGCGCTATGATGAAATTGGCTCTCTTGAGGACCACCAGAGGAATGGAAGACCCAGAGTTCATTAGAGTTACCAGCCTCAGAAATTGCAGCCCAAATAAATGCTTCACAGAGTTCAAGTAACAGACACATCTCAACATCAACTGTTCAGAGGAGACTGTTTGAATCAGGCCTTCATGGTCGAATTGCTGCGAATAAACCACTACTAAAGGACACCAATAAAAAGAAGAGACCTGCTTGTGCCAAGTAACACAAGCAATGGACATTAGACCGGTGGAAATGTGTCCTTTGGTCTGGAGTCCAAATTGGAGATTTTTTATTCCAACCGCCGTGTCTTTGTGAGACGCAGTGTGGGTGAACGGATGATCTCCGCATGTGTATATCCTACCGTAAAGCATGGAGGAGGAGGTGTTATGGTGTGGGGGTGCTTTGCTGGTGACACTGTCTGTGATTTATTTAGAATTCAAGACTCACTTAACCAGCATGGCTACCACAACATTCTACAGCGATACGCCATCCCATCTGGTTTGGGCTTAGTGGGACTATCATTTGTTTTTCAATAGGCTGTGTAAGGGCTATTTTACCAAGAAGGTAAGTGATAGAGTGCTGCATCAGATGACCTGGCCTCCACAATCCCCTGACCTCAACCCAATTGAGATGGTTTGGGATGAGTTGGACCGCAGAGTGAAGGAAAAGCAGCCAACAAGTGTTCAGCATATTTCTTTTTTTATTCATCACATGTTTCGTAAACAACAGGTGAAGACTAACAGTGAAATGCTTACTTAAATTACTAAATTCCACCCTGCCCATTGTTTCTACTGTATCCTTTCAGATCTGTATGACGTATCCGGGGTTGGGCTAGCCAGGGGTTTGATTCATTATCGGGCATTAATGTGCTTTTTAACCATTCACTCTTTTTTTTTTGGTTATGGCTATTTTCTATCATGTTATCATGTATTTTATCATCATACTGTATTTATGCTATTGATTATCAATGAATGTATCTTTATTTCTGCATACAGAAAAAAATAAGAACATATATTAAAGCAAGAACATATTGTCCCTTGAAAATGTGTTTGGTCATTTTTCTTGAAAAGAGAGCATGTTTTCGTGAGGCATTGATTTGATGGAAGGGTCAATGATCCACATAAAGATTATGGTTATGCTAAACATCACTGGGAAACTCCATGTGATCAGAACCAGCAGTGTTGTATCAGAACCACTAGAGGGGGATCTGGTCCTGTATTCAGACTGGCTCTCAGTCCTCTTGGCACATTGTATACACACAGGGGTTACATAAGAAGAGACCTTCAACCAAAGTACAGGTTCACTTCTCCCACGGTCTTAAAGAACATCAGATACAAGAGACCTGCTATGACATCATTGGCACGGTTTTCTGTTCAATCAGCGAGTTCTTGATGTTCTTGTTTTTCTGTCAGAAACACATGTTAAATTCTCATGCAGTGTTTGCCTAACTTGTACATGTATATAAGGAAGGGGATTGTGCCTATAGAATACATCACTTCTAAAAGATGTATCATTTCAGAATGAGGGGTGCTGTATTCTGTCTGTCTGGAGCATGGAGTCAGGGAGAGAGTGGAGGGGTCAGACAGGACGACATCACTCAACAGGGTCACAGTGAAGGGGGAGAGAGCAAGGTGAGAGAAGTTCAGATTGAGAGCCAAGGGACTGAAGCTACAGAGACAACTCACAAACTGACGACCGGTCAGACCACCACTACCCCTGACATACAGAAGAAATGTACAGATTCCCATAATTTCAGGGTAAACGGCTGAACTGTCAGCTAGGAGGACCAGACTGAATCAGTCAGAGTGAGAAGGCAAGAAATGACCTGAAACTGAACAAGGTAATTCATTAAATGTGAATGTATTACAAAATAACATTTTCTATTTGTTTAGGATGATCAACAGTAATTTTGTCTCCATCTTTGTTTCCATGAAACAAATATGTTTTATGAGCCCTGCATATATCTTCAATTTGCAGTAGCCTATCTTCTCTTATGGGTTTCTTCAAAAATAAATCAGTTGATTAATCAGCCAGCTGACTGCCCTGTGTTCACAGACAGACCATAGGTGGCCTTCTCTGCAGGTTTGACTCATTCAGGAACTGTAGGACCTTTCAATACTGACACCACACTGGTCTACAGTAAAGTCATCACCAACATTGGCAACAACAGGCAACACTAATCAACACACACTGAATACACAGTTTACTGTAACATGGAGAGATGGACAGTGCTGGTCTCCCTTCTCCTCTGATACAGGTATCTTCACAGCACCAGTGAGAGGAGTCTACTACTTCACATTCACTGCCATGGATCATCTTGGACATAACATGGGTGTAAAGCTATATCACAATGACCTCAGGGTTATGTTTAATGAGAATATGAATATCAATTCATATGGTTATAATGTGCATATTTCAAATGCATTCTCTCTAGTGCTGGAGGAGGGGGATGAGGTCTACCCTCAGGCAGGGGGCTCTATGATAATAGTAATAACTTCAACACCTCCAGTGGTTTCCTGCTCTTCCCTGTGTGAGGGGGAAATGTTTCTATCTCAAGTGAAGTTAGATAAGGGCTTCTAATTACCACACATAACTGTTCTTCTCATTACCATGAATAAACTGATAAAGGCTTTATTGACTTCTTACTATTCTATACTGTGAAACAAAGTAATGGATAAATTAGGTGAAACATTGTTTCATCCATAGTGCAGTGTTGGTTATTAATGAGGCTATGATCATCATCATCATCATCATCATCAATGAGAGGCTCCATCATGCCTCATGTAATGTGCTCAGAACCCGCAGTATCAAATCAGAATCACTAGAAGGTGATCTTGTTCTGTATTCAGACTGGCTCTGAGTATTCTCTCCAGACGTTGGTGTAGAGGTGTATTGTGTACACACAGGGGGTTACTTTGGGACAAAGTACAGGTTAATTTCTCCCACGGTCTTAAAGAACATCAGATACAAGATACCTACTATGACATCATCTTTGGCAAGGTGTTCTGTCCAATCAGCAAGTTCTTGTTTTTCTGTCATGCAGCAGCTCACTACGTTGTGAGTGTATATGAATAAGGGGACAGAGCCTCATAGACTACATCATTTCTGAAGAGGTGCCATTTCAGAATGAGGGGTGCTGTTGTATCTCTGCTAGTGTTGCTGTTCTGTCTGTCTGGGGCATGGAGTCAGGGAGAGAGTGGAGGGGTCAGAGAGAATGACATCACTTAACAGGGTCAAACACAGTCTTCCAGCCTTGCCGCTCAAAATGACAGGGCTGAGCTGAGAGCGCTGAGAGACATGGTGGTGGAGCATAGAGTGGAGCTGCGGAACGTGGCAGCCAGACTGAGGGACAGTGAGGGGGAGAATGCGGGTAATTAGTTGATTTATAGGTCATTATGAGGTCATATCAGTGAAAGATGAACCATTTTTGAGAACTGATTTATTGTCATAATTACATAATTTCAGCATAAGCAGCACAACCAGAGAGACAGCCAGTGAAAACGAAGCGACGGCTCTTAGAGAGGAGCCGAGTGTCGCCAAGACTGAACTGCAGCTCCAGAAGAACAAGGTGGAGGAGCTGGAGAAACAGAATGCAGGTAAATGTCCAGAGATGTCATCAGTTAGAAATCATAAATGTACTATATTTGAGTATGCTTGATATTATGGTTTAACTTTGTTCAGTACTCATATTTTCTTTCATGTTATGTCAGCCCTGGTGGCCAGAGTGACAGCCAGTGAGATTCAAAACACAAGTAATAGGAGGACTTTGACAAAATGAAACCATCACCTTAAAAACGGTAACGATAACTAAATTCAAGTTAGCTTTTGCATATGTTTTCTGTTAAACCACAGCCTTGGAGGCAAGGAGTACCAGTGAGAGGAAGGTGGAAGAGCTGAAGAGACAGAATGCAGGTAACAGATGCAGACAAACCTATCCCCATGTTTATTCATCCACATTTTTTTAAATAGTTATAGTTCATAGTTTGCTTTAGCATTTGGATAAAATGCATAGAAGACAACCAGAAAAAATATTATTTATATTTGACTTTGATTACACTTAAGTAAATAATAATGTAAATGTAATTTTTTCACTCTCCTGTGTTTACGGACAGACCAAAGGTGGCCTGCTGGTTTAGGCGATGGACTGTTGGGACCCTTCAGTACTGAAATCACTCTCATCTACAATAGAGTCATCACCAACATCGGCCCGGCCTATAACCCAGTTACTGGTATAGTAGTGCATACTACTACTTCAAAAAGTATTAGTTGTGCCATTACAGGGCCATCAGATTGTAAAGAATATAGGTATACACACAGAAAACAAGAACAATGACTTGTGGCCTCTCTGTATAGGAGTCAGTGGCGATTTTAGCAGGTACATCTTGGTGGGGCAAACAACACAACACTAAACAATACATTAATTGCACTATAACGGTGACAAACGGTGCCCACAAACTGTTAGGGCCAACATAAAGCTGTCCCAACAGCAGAGCCTTCATTTCAGCACCATGGAGTGAATCCTTACCACCGCTACACCTGGCTATCATCTGAGCCTGGTCTGGCAGAGAAACAGTTCATTCAGCCTCATTTACTGCCTTTTAAAAAAACATAGCTGATATGGCTGACTTGCTTAAACTAATGTGGTTTCTACTGACAATTGAGATGTACAAACTATGGCATAAGGGGATGACGAGCGGATAAGAGGCAATCCGAGACATTAATGACCGAGCTAGGACGGATGTAGTCTATATAACTGTTTAGCACTTTTGAAATGTACAGCAACAGAATTCAGAACATGGGCCATTTTTACAGTATTCTCCCTGTACACCAAGTCAGAATCATAGGATAAATAAAGGGGGCATATAAGCAGAAAATGAAAGCTCTTACAATATTTGATGATTACATTTCTCTAAAACAGGCTATAGGCTACGTGTGCACCACCAAGTCAGAACAGTAGACTAAGTTATGAGGGGCAAAGGGACCAAATTCTTAGGGTGAGGCACATGGGCTACTAATTTTTACTACACAACATACACTTAGTATTACTTTCTTAGCTACAGTATACATATCTCCCTGGCATATTACATCATTTAGGCAGCAGCATACAATACATTTTTGGACTCACCTTGTTGTGCTCACTTGAACAGGAAGGTGGTACGGCGGTCCTTGTGGGCACATTTTGTCATCAAACTCTGGATTTATGGTGCTTTCAAGACAACTGTGAACTCTGAAAAAAAACACGGTCGAATCATGACATCAGTGATCTTCAGGTCGGAGCTCTTGAAAGAGGCCAGAGTTCCCGACTCGGAATTCCGAGTTGGATGACCGTTCAGAACGTATTTTCCCAGTTGTCTTGAACTCACGGAAGTCTTAGAGTTTCCAGTTCCGAGTTGTTTCCAGTTGTTTTGAACGCGGCAGAAGTTATGCTGGATTGACTGCATGGCCAATATATTCAACCTTTTCTGGCCCATGGTGTTGAATGTTTATCCTTTTATTTTTATTTTTTTACCCCAATTTCAATCTTGTCTCATCGCTGCAACTCCCCAACGGGCTTCGGGAGACGAAAGGTCGAGTCATGCGTCCTGCGAAACATGAACCGCCAACCCGCGCTTCTTAACACCCACCCGCTTAACCCAGAAGCCAGCCGCACCAATGTGTCGGGAGGAAACACCGTTCACCTGATGACCGAGGTCAGCCTGCAGGCGCCCGGCCCGCCACAAGGAATCGCTAGAGCGTGATGAGCCAAGTAAAGACCCCCCGGCCAAACCCTAACCTGGACGATGCTGGGCCAATTGTGCGCCGCCCTATGGGACTCCGGATCACGGCTGGTTGTGATACAGCCCGAGATCGAACCCGGGTCTGTAGTGAGGCCTCTAGCACTGCGATGCAGTGCCTTAGATCGCTGCGCCACTCGGGAGGCCCGAATGTTTATCCTTTTAAGCTTGGAAAGGAGACCCTTAAACCCAGACTTGGACCACACACCCACTCCACTGAATACCAGGCTAGTGATTGCTTTGCAACACTTGCTGTTAGCCACTGATTCCTTCCAAACCACTCATTGTTGAATTTGCAATTTCCAACTTGTTGTGTAATGTTTATGTCCAATGGCCGATGAGCACCGATATGACAAGGATGGAAAAGGATTTGCCAGTAGATTGTCGACGTGATTCATGATGATGACTGCTTGTCTAGCTTGCTAGCTAAGATTTTGAAAGTATGATGTTGACATGATCAGTCCAATCAAAGCTACAGTAAATATAACGTGATTTGAAATAATTTTATCTGTGGACAACGACCTTGAGCCTTGGATGGGCACTTCAAATGTAACTCTATGGCAGCACCCAAGGGGCTTGAATATTCGAGCTCTCCCTGTAGATTTTGCAGTGACGTAGTGTCAGAATGAGTGACAGAATACTGAGCCAATCACGGCGCAACTAGAGAACATTACCAACCCCTACGCTCCGTATTTTCCGCTGGCTGCCCCACCACCACGGAAAGCACTGAGCTAGGCTGAAACACCTGCATTTTGGAGCTGCCTTACTCAAGAAAGTAAAAAAGAGCCCATGTTTGTATGCGGCTTTATTAACTCAAAGAGTTGTTTTTTTATACATTGTTTGCTAACTGATATGTGACACCTATGAATGCCAAAATAACATGCAAAACAGGCCCCACCTGCCCTGAATGACAGGTTGCGACTGATAGGAGTGTACAACCTCTACTGAGAGGCTCAAGCTTTAAAGGCATAATCGGCTGCTCTCTCTCATATTCATAGACAGTATGAATGCAATGACTGACAGTCCTACAGTGTCTATCAGAGATGGACAGTGCTGATATCTCCCTGCTTCTGCTCTGATGCAGGTATCGTCACAGCACCAGTGAGAGGAGTCTACTACTTCACATTCACTGCCATGGATCACCGTCATTTAAATAAAATCACATTTTATTTGTCACATACACGTGTTTAGCAGATGTTATAGCGGGTGTAGCGAAATGCTTGTGCTTCTAGCTCCGACAATGCAGTAATATCTAACAATTACACAACATATACCCAATACACACAAAAAAGTAAGGAATGGGATTTAAGAATATATACATATATGGACAAGCAATGACAGAGCGGCATGGACTAAGATACAGAAGAATATTATAGAATAGAATGCAGTATATACATATGAGATGAGTAGTGCAAGATATGTAAACATTATTAAAGTGACTAGTGTTCCATTTCTTAAAGTGGCCAGTGATTTCAATAGGCAGCAGCAGCCTCTAATGTGCTAGTGATGGCTATTTAACAGTCTGATGGCCTTGAGATAGAAGCTGTTTTTCATTCTCTTGGTCCCAGCTTTGATGCACCTGTACTGACCTCGCCTTCTGGATGAATGATAGCGGGGTGAACAGGCAGTGGCTCGGGTGGTTGATGTCCTTGATGATATTTTTGGCCTTCCTGTGACATCGGGTGCTGTGTGTATCTTGGAGGGCAGGTAGTTTGCCCCCGGTAATGCGTTCGGCAGACCGCACCACCCTCTGGAGAGCCCTGCGGTTGTGGGCGGTGCAGTTGCCGTACCAGGCGGTGATACAGCCCGACAGGATGCTCTCAATTGTGCATCTGTAAAAGTTTGTGAGGGTTTTAGGTGAAAAGCCAAATTTCTTCAGCCTCCTGAGGTTGAAGAGGCTCTGTTGCGCCTTCTTCACCACACTGTCTGCGTGGGTGGACCATTTCAGTTTGTCGGTGATGTGTACGCCAAGGAACTTGAAGCTTTCCACCTTCTCCACTGCGGTCCCGTCGATGTGGATAGGGGGGTGCACCCTCTGCTGTTTCCTGAAGTCCACAATCATCTCCTTTGTTTTGTTGATGTTGAGTGAGAGGTTATTTTCCTGGCACCACACTCCCAGAGCCCTCACCTCCTCCCTGTAGGCGGTCTCGTCATTGTTGGTAATCAAGCCTACAACTGTTGTGTTTAGGAACCATGGGTGTGAGTCTGTATAAGAACAGCCAGAGTATGATGTTTGCTCATGAGTACAATCATTATGGGGGTGATGAGTATATATCTAATACATTGTCTCTAGAGCTGGAGGAGGGGGATGTGGTCTGCATGCGTCTCCCCAAAGAGTATGTGCTGGATGGTTCTGCTTGGTTGCGCAACACCTTCAGTGGCTTCCTGCTCTTCCCTGTGTGAGAGAAATGCTATATTGAGCTCAAGTGAAGAGTCAGGAGGTTAGAGCTTCCTAGACCAGGGATGGGCAACTGGCAGCCCCCCTTTTGTGTTTAGAATTGCAGGAAATTTACTCTAAAACTTCTCTCCACTGTCAAGAGAGGGCTGCCAAAATGTTTAGGTCACAAGGTGGGGGGATCCCCCATCAGAATGTTGCTTAGGGCCCCCAAAAGAATAGGGTCTCTGAATGCATGTGTGGGTATCAATGTGAGAGTAAGCAGACCCACAGTACCCCTCATGATGAGTTCAGATGTTGTTGTCCCCCATCCCTGTCCTAGACCATCAAATGTTCTTCTCATAACCTTTAATAAATGCTTTAAAAAGTATTTTTCTCCCTCTCACCATTGACTTCTTACTGTTGATAGTACTGCATCTTGATGCCATCATAAACATTTCAAAACTAGACCAAGTAACTGAATACCCATTGTGGCTTCAATGATTTGTACACATTTGTAATGGTGTTTTATGATTATTTTGTGTACTGTGAAACAAAGTACTGGCTTTGCAGTAAGAAGTTAGGTGAACTGTGCCTGTGAAAAATGTGAGTTAGATTCTCCCGTATACTTTTTAGCTAGTAGTTCTGACAAGCTAAAAGTGGTCCCTGAAAACCACATCATTGCTCCCTCTCTGCTGTGTCCACTGCTAGCTGTTGCTTAAATGGAAGGGCCAATTTGCTAGGGGGCTGGCCCACATGTGGTGAAATGTAGGGAAAATGCCACAGCACAGCTTCAAGTTAAGTTGCTTTTAAACTAGGGATTTCGTGGCTAATTGATGGAAGACAGTAATTTCTCATATTATGCATGTATGAACTACACTGACACATCCAGCCCAAAGCGGGAGGTTTTTAAAAATACTTTAAGAGCAAAGCTTCAATGTGCCTACCATCTCATATTAATTTGTTTTGTTGACAAGGTGCATATAATTATTTTTACCTACAAGAGCAACAGTGACAAGTGTACTCAAATGAATCAATTAACAGTATTGCACAAGCATATGTATCATAAAGGGTGAAAATCCACACGGTACAGAAATTTCACAGACCAACATTTTATTGATGACTTCAGCACTACATCAGTTTGAAGGAGAGGGCAGTTTCAGTATCAAATGATAAATAATGGTACGCAGGGTTGGAGACTGTGCTGGACAAGTCCCTAAAGGCCTATGACACTTAACATTCTAGAACACGGACGAAATCTAGAACTTCGCAGAGTAGAGTTCTAGAACATTCTAAAGCAGTAATTATAGAACGCCTCCGTTCCGGAATATTCTAGATTAGAACACTGCTGAGTTCTAGAAGACTGGGCCGAGCCTGGCACGCGCTCAGTGGGGGTAGGTGTCTGGGTGGGGTCCTTAGTCCTCAGACTCTCCCGGGCTTCTGATGTCGTCGATCTTCAGGATCATCTTGACCACCTGGGTGGCCAGAGAGATCTGCTGCTTCTTCCCATGCAGTGTCTCAATTACATGCTGCTGCTTCATGTCTAGGACAGAGAAAATGATCCACATCAATAACAACTACAGCTATATTAAAGAGTAATGCTTCATATTAAGTGTTTAGCTGTAGCCCCTAGGCAGGTGAATGAAAACATTTAACATTGTGAATATTGGATACACCAAAATTTACATTTACCAACTTGTGAGTCTGTCCTTACCGTTGGTGTTGAGGTGCAGACAGTCGATGCCCAGGGCGGGGTTGTTCTCGGTGACCTGCCTGGCGCGGACCTCTGTCATGGTCTGGATGGAGTTAAGCCCGCTGTTCTCTGCCAGGGCCATGGGGATCACCTCCAGGGCATCAGCAAATGCACGCATGGCATACTGCTCCAGGGACGGGCACTGCAGAGAGAGAGATGGAGACGTATGAGCACATTGCTTTGTTTCAGAGTCATCACCACCACCACCATCAGGCTATTACTGTTACTCCGAGGTACACTCTTGATGCCAGTCAAATACAAGGTTTTAGATCTTTCACCTGATACTGTGTGCATGTACACTACCTTGTCAGCGGCCTGGTTGACAGCGAGGGCACAGGCGATCTCAGAGGCTCCGCCCCCGTACACGATGCGGTTGTCTCTGACCAGGTTACGGATGACACACAGTGCATCATGCAGCGCACGCTTAGCCTCCTCAATGATCTGACAGGGAAATTAAACAGTTAGTGCTGGGCTGCAATGAAAGCCTGTACACTGGTGGCCCTCCAGGACCAGAATTGTCCATCCCTGACCTAGAGATACCACTGATGAGGAATCACAGCTGTCTACATTAACTGATTATCAGTTGCCTCAGAATAATCTATTTTAACAGTCAACATTAGCAGACTACCAGTCCACCCACCATCTTGTTTCCTCCACGGATGAAGATGGTGACTGCCCTGGAGTTCTTGCACTCCTCGATGACCAGCATGCGGTCCTTGGTTGTGCCAAAGCAGATCTCCTTGACGACACCGGCTGAGCCCAGCTTCTCAGCGGTCAGCTCAGAGAACCGTGGCACGATGCGGCCTCCTGTCGCTATGGCAATCAGCTGAGGGAGGAGAAAACACAATGCATAAATACATTGGCGAACCCCCCCCATATCACCTTTAGTAGCTAGATGGCAAGATGTGTGTGACGGTGTGCGTCTTACCTCGATCTCAGGCCCTCCGACCCAGCGGATGGCAGGCAGTTCATTCTGCAGCAGCAGGTGGTTGGCCTCGTCATCAAAGCCCCACTGGCAGATGGCCAGGTTAGCGCCAGTATCCTTGATCTGAAAAAGCAGTTATAATTTGACATTATTTTTCACTTATTCATTTTATTTCATCAAATTACATTCAGTTAACTCCACTATCTGGTTTCGAAAAACAGTATTGTTAGTTTAGATCATATTCAATTAGATTAAAGGAGATAAGGGGAACTTCATATACACATCATTTACATTTACGTCATTTAGCAGACGCTCTTATCCAGAGCGGCTTACAAATAGGTGCATTCACCTTATAGCCAGTGGGATAACCACTTTACAATGTTTTTTTTTTTTGGGGGGGGGGGGGGGGGGGGGGGGTAGAGGGATTACTTTATCCTATCCCACATCTTTAAGTTATCCATACTGAATGGCTGGAATTAACAGTCTGCAGCTGTGCTATAGAGAAATATTAAGTCCTAAAGGTCCTGTAACTGACCTGTTTAATCATCTCCAGGAACTTGTCCTTCTCATACTTCTGCAGGGCCTTGTATTCCTCCACACAGGTCACGTCCAGCTTGTGCTTGGTCTTGGGCTTAGGGGGCTCAAACGGACAGGTCAGGATGGCCATCTTTGTGTCTTTCAGGAGCTGAGGGTAAAATAGTACCGTCGATTATTGTAGAAGATAAATCATCCAGCACAAATTATCTGGCTAAATACAATTAAAAAGAGAGTGCTTTGGACTTGGATGGACAAAAATATTACCTCTAAATCTACAGAAATTGTCAGCTCTCTCACAAGCCTAATTTAAGATAGTCTTAGATGAGAGAGGTGAGAGAGCCATGGTGCTGTATCCCCTGTCAATGCCAGAACACTCCACTGGGGATAGAGTGACTGGAGTAAGGGAGGGGAAGAAGAGTTACTGATCTAGTCTGTCCTAGTTTACCCTCTTGGTTGGATCTGAGGTGACTGAGAAGGTGTGCTAACAAGACCCTTGTTCGTATCAACTGTATGGCTGGGTTTGTACCTTGGATGAGGTACCACTACCTTCTGATGAGGTTCATGATAGCCTAAAAGTCAACACTATTACAGTGAACTATCCTGAGCTGTGTACCTTGGGCATCTGAGGGTGGCTGAACTCCTTGTCTATGATGACTCCCTTGATGAGCTGTGTGTCCTCCAGCTTGCCTCCCACCTTGCCCTCCATCTTGATCAGCTCAAAGTCCACATCCTTACGGTTCATGTCCGCCACAGTCAGGACAGCGTTCACTGCAATCTCCGCCATCTGTCTGTGGCAGCGGTTGATCCTGAGAAAGGGAACATGAGGGAGAGAAATCTGTATGAGACCTTATGAAACCAATGACCAGGTTCACAAATAATAAATGAATCCTACTTTCCAGATGGGCCGAATCAATTTGTGTATCATTCATCTTTGTAAAGGAACCATGTGCTCTTGGCACAATAACAAAAAATATATAAAAAGAACCCAAGTAGACATGCAAACAATAAAAGGCAACCGCTAGCTGGACCATAAATGAAATTCCCGAAAGTTGCCATGACAACCACAAAAAACACAAACTGCCAGTGAGACTCACACTTTGGATCCCAGTGTGGTCATGGCAGTCTGGATGAGTGGCTCTGTGTTGCTAGGGTCGTACGGGTAGGTCTCACTGATCTTGTCCAACTGTGCGATGGCGATCTTGGCGGCCTGGTCGTACCCGTCAGAGATACGGATGGGGTGGATGCCCCTGTCCAGCAGCTGCTCTGCCTCCTCCAGGAGAGCACCAGCCAGCACTGGAGAGGGGAGATGAGTAAGTTAGGATGAGTGTACTAATATGATTCTGCATTGATAAACACAATCTTATCATAGAAAGAATTGCAGATAATATGAGCATGGATTAGAGAAATTATCAGCTGTCTCATAAGCCCCATGTAAGATTAAGGTCCTAGATGAGAGAAATGAGAGCGCCATGCTGCTGTATCCCCTGTCAATGCCAGCCCACCCACTGGAGACAGCGTGACTGGAGTAAGGGAGGGGAAGCATTCTGCAATATTAATCCAATATCCAGATTAGCACCAAAAAAAAGGAACTATAATAGGATAGCAATGCAAGAGACCACAATTGTTTAATTAGTAAGCTAATGAGTCAGACCAATCAGGGAGACTCATAAATCTGTAGGGTCCCGTACCAACGACTCCGGTGGTCCCGTCTCCGATCTCGTCGTCCTGAGACTTGGAGAGCTCCACCATGAGCTTGGCGATCTGGTGGTCCACATCCATCATGCTGAGGATGGTGGCTCCGTCGTTGGTGACGGTCACCTCTCCATCCCGGTCAACCATCATCTTGTCCAAACCTGTAGAAAGAGGAAAAGGGGAAGGGGGATTAAATGTACTTGCATGATGAATGTGTAGCTTTAGGTAGCCGTTACTGTGTTGAGTAACCAGAGGGATGGGGCACACACCAATACTAGAAGTTCCTTTATAGCTCTGTTAATGAATAAGCTTTAGCGTGGCTGTGTTTATTTGGGCTTACCGTTTGGTCCTAGAGAGGTCCTCAGCGTCGAGGCAACTGCCTTTGCTGCCATGATGTGAGACTGCAAAACACAAAATCACATTAGTGAATTTCTTCAGAGGCTGGGATTCTGCAGGAATCAAACTAGAACCAAATAAAATCAAGACATCTCTGGGAACCACTGGCTTGATGGCAAGCTGACAAATGACGGTCAAGCTTCTTCATTAACTGTCAAGAAGCAACTGACACATCTTGTCAGCTGAGTTAGACTATCTAACTAACCGTGTGGCTAAACGACTTTACCTACGTTGACTAGCTACGCCATGACTACATGCGGCATGTTAAAAAAAATAACTATAAGTGATAAAATACAGAACTGATGGTGGCATGTTAGCTAGCTAATTTCATTGTTTATTTGACAACCAGCCGCGCCTCACTGTGGCGTCTTCAGAAAATAAGCACATGGGCATACTAGCATGGCGTTGCTAGCTAGCCATAATAACTTCAGAGCTAGCTAGTACACTTCTACAACATGAACTAGGCATATGCATTGGCCCATAATGTTATAATACCTAGCTAGCCAACTTTCTAGTTAAACAAGTGGGTCTGATGTTGCAAGTGTTCTGCATTTGCCTTGATAAGATGCTGACGCATGGTGAAGTAGCATGGTAGCTGACTTGCTAAATCCATTATACCTTCAGTGCGTCAAGGCCCGATAACCGAGTCTTCTTATCCTGATCTTTGATGATGATGAACGGCCGTCCATACTCATCGAAGGCGAGTTGCCCCATAGCGGACATATTGCCCGAAAGACGGCGACACTTCAGAAGCGTCCACCGATGAAATTCAGACTTTTATCCGTGAAGAAGCGGAGTGTTGGTAGACCTGGTAGCACTAGTGTGCCGGCGACTTCTAGAAGGATCGATGGGCGGGGAGGGCGAGACCAAGTAGAAAAAGGGGAAGTTGATAAATCAACGATTCGATTTTTTTAAACGATATTGTGAAGATATATTTCAGTTGCCTTTTATACAATTAACGTTTTGAGACAGATGTTGTGCATAAAAGGTTTGGATTTATTAAATATTTTAGAAATCCGCAAAATTCTTTTCATCACGTTGCCAAATCGGTTCTTCCAGTCTCGCGATTCTATCACTCTTTTCACTCTTGTCTTGTTTTTTCGCGCTGAAGATACATATTTTGGTGCTGAAGTTAAGACACCAACGGTGATGAAAATACTCCGCTTCAGAGAGTTTAAAACAGGGGTGTCAAACTCATTTTAGCTCAGGGGCCACATGGAGGAAAATCTATTCCCAAGTGGGCCGGACCGGAAAAATCATGGTATATATAACTTAAAAACAACAACTTCAGATTGTTTTCTTTGCTTTAATACGATCAACATACAACATAAAGCTGGAGCCTGAGGACAGTGTGTCCAAAATAGTACAAGCACAACATCACTATTAATCATAAAACACGTCAAGTTTATTTGAAAATTCTAAAGAAAAAGAACACACAAACACACAATGCCTCAGTGATTAACAGAACTGTTTCACAGATCACAGAACTATATCAGGGTGTCATTTCTCAGGCAGAAATGTAGATAAAAATAATGAAATCCTGTTCCCCAAACAAGTGCAAGAACCACAGAGTCAAGAATAGGTTAAATATACAAAGAAAATAAAATCAATTAAAAACAATAGCACATCAACATAAAAACATATAAACATAAAGCTGGAGCCTGAGGACAGTGTCCAAAAGCACAACATCACTATTAATCATAAAACACCTCAAGTTATTTGAAAGTTCTGAGGACAAAGAACACACAAACACACAATGCCTCAGTGATTCACAGAAGTATATCACAGATCACAGAACTATATCAGGGTGTCATTTCTCAGGCAGAAATGTAGATAAAAATAATGAAATCCTGTTCCCCAAACAAGTGCAAGAACCACAGAGTCAAGAATAGGTTAAATATACAAATAAAATAAAAGCAATTAAAAACAATAGCACATCAACATAAAAACATATAAACATAAATCTGAAAGCGTTGCTCAAACTCCCGTAACAGTCCAGTTATTTTATCTTTGAACCGCTTCATGTCTGCCACATGTTGGGTCGCGCACACATTTTTCAGACAGGGGACGTGAGCTGCATCACCACCGGCAAGTTGCGTCTCCCACAATGACAGCTTCAACTTGAAAGAACGTATGCTGTCATAATACTGCGTGACAACTTTGTTGCGCCCTTGCAGCTGTTTGTTCAAGTTATTCAGGTGCTCTGTAACATCCACCATAAATGCAAGGTCCGGCATCCATTCTGCGGAATGAAATTCTAACACTGGTTTGCCCTTTTCTTCCATGAACTGTTCAATTTCTTCTCGTAAATCAAAGAAACGCCTCAGCACAGCACCTCGGCTTAACCATCTTACCTCAGTGTGGTATGGCAGGCCATAGATGTGGTCTTTCTCTCTGAGAAGGCTGTCAAACTGACGGTGATTCAGGCTTCTGGATCGGATGAAATTAACAGTTTGGATGACCACCTTCATGACGTTATCCATCTTTAATGACTTGCAACACAAAGCCTCCTGGTGCAAAATACAGTGAAAAGTCAAAAAATCACGTCCTCCATTTGCAGATTGCACTTTCTCTCTGAACTTTGTCACAACGCCTGCTTTTTTCCTGATCATTGAGGGCGCACCATCTGTAGCCAGGCTGACAGCGCAGGACCAGTCCACTCCGACCCTGTCCAGCGCGCCGACGAGTGCGGTAAAAATATCAGCTGCTGTCGTTGTATCTGTCATCGGCACCAACTCCACGAACTCCTCGGTGACGGTCAATGTGTCATCAACTCCGCGGATGAAAAAATTGCCAGTTGTGCAACATCTGTAATGTCCGTGCTTTCATCAATTGCAACCGAAAACGCAATAAATGACTTTACTTTTTGCTTCAACTGGCTGTCCAAATCCACTGAAAGATCGGAAATCCTGTCTGCAACTGTGTTTCTTGTCAGGCTGATATTTGCAAAAGCCTGCCGCTTTTCAGGGCACACAATCTCCGCTGCCTTCATCATGCATGTTTTTACAAATTCACCCTCACTAAATGGTTTTGAAGCCACTGCGATTTCATTAGCAATGAGGTAGCTAGCTTTCACTGCAGCGTCACTGATGTCTCGGCTGTGAGTAAACACAGACTGCTGTTTCTTCAGACCCGCCAACAGTTCATTCACCTTCTCTCATCTCCGCTGTCCTTGAAAGTTGTCATATTTGTCGGCATGAAGACTCACATAGTGGCGACGAAGGTTATATTCTTTCAGCACTGCAACATGCTCTGAACACACCAAACATACAGCTTTCCCATTAAATTCCGTGATTAAATAGGATGACAATTTTTCTTGGAACACTCTGCACTCTGCGTCCACTTTTCTCTTTTTTGACAGAGACATATTGGGGCAATGAGGGTGCCAAAGCACATAATGTTAAAAGTAGAAGCCGTAATAAATATCGCGGGCAAAACAAAGTAGCTCATTGGCTGCACGTGCTTGACCTACTTGCTCTGCCCCGGTATAAACAGTTTGCTTGCTTAACACAATTGCTATTGCGCCATCCAGTGGACGCAATTGGAACAGCAGTTTATTTTATTGATAAATTGCAGCGCATTTTTATACAAAAAAAAAAAAATGAAAAAAAAAACTTTTTTTTTTTTTTTTTTTAAATCATCTCGCGGGCCGGATTAAACCCGTTTGCGGGCCTGATCCGGCCCGCGGGCCGTACGTTTGACACCCCTGGTTTAAAACTTGACTGTATTAGCTTGATAATGTACGTTGGGGTGAAAATGTTAATTTGAGTGAATTCATAGACAGCTCATTTTTCAGTTTCACTGGTATTGTTTGGCTCATTGCATTGGCCATTCAGCCCAAATCGTCCGGAAAGTATTAAACATTTGACTTGTGAGTTAGCTAATGCCGTTGTGTGTCAGCTCCACCAAATATGATGGATATACTGACAAGATACACGTCTCTCCGCACTAACAATTGTCCACAAAGTGGCATTGCGGGCTGTCTAGCTCCCGCCTAAATGTTCTTTGGATTGGTGGATTAATGTGGGGATTATATTAATGTGGGGATTCAGGTTCTCTGTAGAGAAAACTCAAACAGTGTTCTTTACCAGGATGAAGGTGGGAGATGAGGTATGCTAGAGGTTATATTTAAGAAACTTGGAGAGGATGGGGGCCTTCAGGTTCCTTGGGGTATACTTTGACACTAGACTGATCTGGGCCGAACACATTGAGAGAGTGGTGGGAAAGTCTAAGAAGGTGCTAAATGTGATGCGCTATCTGACGGGGAAGGATTGGGGGGCTGGGCGTTCCTCATTGAGGACCATGTATGTTGCATTGATCCGATCTGTAATAGACTATGGCAGTATAGCGTATGGTTCGGCAGCCCGGACCTCACTGGAAAGGCTAGATGTCATACAGGGGCAAGGACTCAGAATAAGTAGTGGGGCGTTTCGGACGTCCCCAGTGGCTGCATTACAGGTGGAGATGGGGGATATGCCGTTGCAGATTAGGAGACAGCAGCTGGCAATTCATTATTGGGTCAACCTACAGGGACATGGGGTGAAATAGTTTTTACAGGCATGCTGGGAACATGAGCGAAGACAGAACACAAGCTTTGGGTGGGTGGGTAATACCCAGGCGAAGGAGATGGGATTGTATTGGAGGGAGTTTAGTCTAACGGTAGCTATTCCTGTAAATCCACCATGGCTACTCCCGCCTCCAGTAGTTGATCGAGAAGTGTTGGAGAGACTACAGAAAGATAGGGAGAGTGTTGATCCATCTGATTTGTTTAGGAGACGTCTGGATACTGTGTATCAGGATTTTGTGGCCATTTACACAGATGGTTCAAAAGATCCAAGGACAGGACGTACTGGGTCAGCATTTGTAGTGCAGGTATGTGGGGTGGAAGTCGGGAAACGCATTACAGATCATCTGGCTGTATATAAGGCCAGATGGGTCCCAACCCATGTGGGGGTGGAGGGGAACGAGGCAGTAGATGTACTGACTAAACAAGCACTTAGTAGTGGGGATGTTGACGTTGAAGTTTCAATGAGCAAGGCAGAGGCAAAAAGACTGATATATACAGGGATGGTGCAGAGATGGCAGGAGCAGTTGAATAGAGATAATAAGGGAATGCATTTATTTAAAGTACAGAGGAAAGTCGGGGAGGGGAGGACGGCAGGAAGGGACAGAAGAGAGGAGGCTATTTTTACAAGATTAAGGGTGGGACACAGCCAGTTGAATAAGACATTAAATGTGATAGGAAAGCATCCAACAGGAAAGTGTGATTATTGTCAGGAAACAGAGACCGTGGAGCATGAATTGCTACAGTGTGGGCAATATCAGAGGGAAAGAGAGAGGATGAGATCTAGTATGAGGGAGAAGGGGATACAGAGATTAGTTTAAAGAGTATATTGAGTAGAACGTCATTAGATATAGTATCAAATATTTTGTTCTCTTTTTTAAGAGCAACGGTGCTGGTAGGTAGGATTTAGATTATCCCTGTCTCTGGCCCACACTCCAGTACAGTAGGTGGCGGTAATGCACCATAACGTTGGATGCCAACCGCCGAAAAACCCCACTGAAGAAGAAGTACATCTCATAATTGCAATATTTTTTGAATATTAGATGAGGGTTGTTGACGTCAAACGCCTGTATTCAATGGGGAGAGACGCTATCAGTGGAGGCTCCTCAGAGGAACATCCTCCACAGTGAATAATAATAATAATAATAATAATAATATTACAACATTTTAAAAGTTATACTTTTTAGATAAAACTATACTACATATATTCACGTCACCAAATAATTTATTAAAATACACTGTTTTGCAATGAAGGTCTACAGTAGCCTCAACAGCACTCTGTAGGGTAGCATCATGGTGTAGCCGGTGGACAGCTAGCTTCCGTCCTCCTCTGGGTACATTGACTTCAATATAAAACCTAGGAGGCTCATGGTTCTCACCCCCTTTCATAGACTTACACAGTAATTATGACAACTTCTGGAGGATGTCCTCCAACCTATCAGCATGAACTGACATGTTGTCCACCCAATCAAAGGATCAGAGAATGAATTTAGTAATGAAAGCATAAGCTACAGCTATCTAGCACTGCAGTGCATAAAATGTGGTGAGTAGTTGTCTCAAAGTGAGCGAAATACAATAGTTGAACTGTTTTGAACAAATGAATGTATTCCAAAATGAAGGAGAAGCAAGAGAGAGATAGAGAGAGATTTTGTAATTTTTTTATTCACTTTCAGTTTCATTTACTTAGCTAGCAAATGCAGCTAGCTAGTTTAGCCTACTCAAACACCCTGCTCAAACAGAGGGATTCTATGTTAGGTAGATGGCAATGACTCTCCAACACAACACTGGAACTCTTCCAAGTCAAGGTAAGCTTTTGGTTTTACTAATTTATTGCCACCGGGGCCTGCCGGTGTAAGTGCTAAACTGCTTACTGACTGTACACTGTAACTTTACTGCATGATTGTAGTGGGTTTACTAACACGTTAGTTCTATTAGCTATGTTGACTATGACGTTACTTTAGCTAATATGGTGACAACGATGTAGGCTGTGTGTAGCAGCTATGATATGGTTTGGCTTGGAAAGGTGTTTTTGCCTGGTCACATACAGCTGATGTGTTGTGCATTGAAGTCCATAAGTGTAGGGAAAAGGTGAGAGGAGGAGAGCGCATAGATGCGAGAAGGAATACAACGTGGCTGCTATGAAACTGAACTGCGTTTACGTGTGATCAGGGGTTTATTAATTCTGCCGATTCTGTTGAAAAACTTTTCTTAAATGGAAGCAAACGGAACTAAACAGTGATATAAATACCTGAATTTGTCCAAATGAAACTCTCGTTTGCAACTGTTGGACTAATGATTACACCCTAGATCGCAAGAGTGTGCGAGGCAGTATTGAATGTGTCTGTCCATGTGTCACTGTTTCTCACCTCAAATTTGTATCTCGACCTGTGTGCACCTACGTTGTAAATGTTAATTCATAGGCTAGGTTGTAGAAACTTCATGATGGGTATAGGATAAATTTGAGTGTCATGTAGTAGCCTAAACCTATCGCTGTTACATTGAACTGGGTGAATAGAATAGGAATGACAGTCATCCCCCCCAAAAATCGTCCTCCCTCATTTAAAAATTTTTTTTAGTCATTTTAGCAGACATCTTAATCTCATCTTAAACGGCACTGACCGCTACTGGACGCTATACTACTAGCCTCATCATGTCATGAACAGGCCTTTATATACTCTGATATAAAGTGTTTTTTCTCAAAGTTGCTGGGATGTCACGTGTCCTACTTATATCAGTACACTCGTAACAACTTAAGCATTACGAAACTTCTATTAGATCAAAAAAAACTAATGTAGCAAATAAGCCATACATTTTCTTGTTGACCTCCATACAAAAACTCGTTGCTTGGTGGGCGAAACAACGAAAAAACGCCACCTGCTGGAGGACAAAAATTCGTTGCTTGGTGGGCGAAACAACGAAAAAACGCCACCTGCTGGAGGGAGATTGGGCTCTAGCTCCACCACTGAGTTTAGATTCTGGCCACTGTCTAGTGCTGGAAGACTGGCACTCTGGAGTTTAAATGACAGTCCAGTTGGATGATAAGCGAATCTCATGGAGTTACAGAGAGCTGTTCTCCAAAAAAATCCTCATATCAGAGAGAATAAGTTCGTGTTATGTTATGCGTTTGATAAATAAATGGGCACAAATCCAAGTGCATACACATAGTTCTGCACATTCTGCATAGGGACAAGTTGTTCCTTGCTGGGCGACAGCGTGCCGTGCGTCAAACGTGACGTAACTTCCGGGTAAGTTTTATAAAGCGCTGAGTGTGTTCAAATATGTATTTTCTACAATGTTAGAAAATGAGTTTCACCGGGATCTGCGACTAGCTTTTCAACTTTTCGATTGTGTATGTACAATACAATACATGACATGCAGTCAGTCGTGGACCTTTAGAGGATGATGATATTTTCTGAATTCACAGTTTTATTTGGTCGGTGTGTAGCCTGTTGAGATAGAAGGATCAGTGTCATGGATGATGTTTCTCAGTTTACAATCCAGCATGTCGATGTCGATTTTTGCCCAATGTTTTGTTGTTGACAATGTTGCCACAACAGTTATTATAGATATGATACACTCACTGTAACAGCTTGCTGTAACGTCAAGTTACACTGACATATTTCATTCCACTTGTCCAGCAGAATGCCTTGTGAGGTGAAGCCCCGGTTCCTGGTTCTGTACGGGTCTCAGAAAGGCCAGGCGCAGTCCATAGCCGAGGGGATAGCTGACGAGGCCGAGGAGAGGGGACTGGTTGCTGACATCTACTGCTTGAGTGAAGGAGAGAAGGTAAAATTGACAAAATAGTGTTAACCTGCCCTGGCTTGTATTCCAATGCGGGCACAACACTGATGTGTGTCAAGCTGATAAGGAAACAAAACTAGGTCTGTATGAGTGCATTTGTGGCAGAGTTGTTGTTACCGCTGGTCTTTTCTGCTCTGGTATGAATACTGATCCTGTTTTTGTATCCCCTCAGTTTAACTTGGAGAAGGAGAGTGCTCCTGTGGTGTTTGTTGTGTCTACCACTGGGGATGGGGACCCACCAGACACTGCCCTGAAGTTTGTGAAGAATATCAAGAAAAAGACCCTGCCCAGCGACCACTATTCACACCTCTGCTATGCTCTTATAGGTAAGGAAGGAGTGTGTGCCTAATCTTGGTTAACCCAGAACTAAATTATTGCGTAATTGGTCAGGTGCTCGATTAAGTTCCAGGTCCATACATGTTGAGAAAATAGATGCTAGAATGTGGAGCAGAACTGGAATGAGGAGCTCTCACTCTCTCTCTCTCTGCAAGTAAGGTGTATGGGTCAAATGTCCCCTCCCCTTCCAAATTTCGAAAGATGCTAACACCTGTGAAATTGTGATTTGTCCAAATAACCAGTGATGAAAAACCCAAGCACCGGAACTATTGCTGCTCTTTATCAATTGGTGCCCATAGTATAAAGACAGTTCTACGGTACCATTTATGTTTAAATAGTCAGTCCACGACAGATTAGTGTGTGCCTAAGACTAAATGCCTAGTGCTGAGATTAATTGCTACAACCTTCATCTTTATCTTATTTGATGGCTTTAAAATAACAGATTCATTGATACATTACGTGTGATGATCAATATCTTGTTTTTCTCTGTCCTCCAGCTCTGGGTGATACAAACTATGAAAATTTCTGCAACTGTGGGAAGACTATTGACGGCCGTCTACAGGAACTTGGTGCTAAACATTTCTACGCAACAGGACATGCAGATGATGGTGTAGGGTAATGCCCAAGGTTTTTTAATAGGGAAAATAATACATTTTGTTACATGTTGATGTATGAGAAACACTCATCAAGTCCTGGCACTCACCTAAGAAGCTTTAAAGTAGGGGCACAATGTCTTCTTCAATCAGTAGCAATAAAAGTGGTATCAATACAGACACACTTTGAATGTACTTTCCCCATTTACCTCATGTCATCTCATTTGTGGTATGTGGCACATGACCTTTCGGATCCTTCACAGTGCTTATCTCTGAGTCTGAGTGGACTTTGCTTTCTGTCCAGGCTTCAGTTTGTGGTGGTCTGTTAGGGGGTTCCCCATGTTAATATTTTAACTCCTAATCCAAACCCTGTCCTGTGTGTGTGTGTGTGTGTGTGTCTAGGCTTGAGTTGGTGTTGGAACCCTGGCTTGAAGGACTGTGGGAGGCCATCAGAGGAGCGTTATTCAAGATGGCCGCCCCTCAGCCTGAGAGGGATGGCCATGTAAGGGACCTGAGAGCATCGTTGAACGAAACACCCGAATCATCAGCGACAGATGTCAAACTCCACCTCATGAGTCTTAACGAATCAGAACCCCAGAGCTCTGGCTCACTCAAAACAGCAGCGGAGTCAGAGAGTGCTAAGACTGAGCCCAAATCAGTTTCTCTAGCAGTTACAGAAGCAGCCTCTGAGACAGGGAGTGCAGTTACTGATCTCAGACCAGTGTCATTGACCAACAACAATAGGACTGCTCCTAAACTAGATATTGTTGTCACTGATCCCAAGTCAGTGTTAGAGACACGGAGTGGAGCACACCCTGCTGTTGTAGAGGTCTCTCTGACACGCTCCTTGCCCCCGCTGTCTGAGTCTGCCCTCAATGTCCCTGCTCTGCCTCCACCCTACCTGGATGTCACGCTCCAGGAAGCCACCATAGAAGAAGAGGTGGGTTGTGGTAATACTGTTTTTTTTTTTGGCACTATGACATTGTTTACATCTCTCACTCATATTTGTTTGAATGATAACATCACCAGACACACTTTCCATATCCTGTCCCCCCTCCCCCAGACCAATGCTCCGGTCAGTAAGGAGACCCTACACGAGGTTCCAATCTCCAGGGCAGTCCAGCTGACCAGAGATGACTCAGTTAAAACAGCCCTTCTGATAGAGCTGGACATCTCAGTGAGTGGCAGGCCTTTCTTACTATATACACTGAGTGTACAAAACATTAAGGACACCTTCCTAATATTGAGTTGCACCCCCCACTTTTTCCCTAAGAACAGCCTCAATTTGTCGGGGCATGGACGCTACAGGGCGTCAAAAGTGTTCCACAGGGATGCCGGTCCATGTTGACTCCAATGCTTCCCACAGTTGTGTCAAGTTGGCTGGATGAATTTTTTGGGTGGTGGACCATTCTTGATACATACGGGAAACTGTTGAGAGTGAAAAACAAAGCAGCATTGAAGTTCTTGACACAAACCGGTGCGCCTGGCACCTACTACTATACCCCGTTCAAAGGCACTTCAATATTTTCTTTCCCATTGACCCTCTGAATGGCACACATAAACAATCCATATCTCATTTGTCTCAAGGCTTAAAATCCTTATTTAAGCTGTCTCCTCCCCTTATAATAATATAATATGCCATTTAGCAGACGCTTTTATCCAAAGCGACTTAGTCATGTGTGCATACATTTTTACGTATGGGTGGTCCCGGGGATCGAACCCACTACCCTGGCGTTACAAGCGCCATGCTCTACCAATTGAGCTACAGAGAATCTATACTGAATTGAAGTGGATTTAACAAGTGACATCAATAAGGGATCATAGCTTTTACCTGGATTCACCTGGTCAGTCTATGTCATGGAAAGAGCAGGTGTCCTTTAATATTTTGTACACTCAGTACAAAATATTATGCAGAGACCAAATATACTGGTCAGTAGTTCAAAATGGTGGTTAAACTAGTTTCTTTACTCCATCTTCTCCTCTGAGTACCTAGGCACATCCGATGGCCTACCAGCCTGGGGACTCGCTTGACGTGCTCTGCCCAAACAGATCCTCCGAGGTGGGGGAGCTGCTCCAGAGACTGTGCCTGCAGGACCAGAGGAGCCACCGTGTCCAGCTCTCACTGCGCAAAGACACCAAGAAAAAATGTATGCTGTTCTCTCTAGTCATACACAGGACAGGGACATTGTGTGTTTATAGTCTCTAAGTTATATTGCGATTTAGTCATGACATTTAAGCTATATAAAACTGCATGTAACTACTCACATCTGTAATCGATGTAAAGTTGATTCAGTGTTGTTTCCCCTCCAGCTGCTCAGCTCCCCTCCTACATCCCAGAGAACAGCACTCTACACTACGTGCTCACCTGGAGTCTGGAGCTCAGGACTGTCCCTAAGAAGGTACCTTCTACTTTCACCATCTATACCTGAACTACCCAGTTCAGACCCTGTCTGAAAGGTTACTGCACTGCAGTAGGACAGAGACTCTTTCGTCTAGGTTCTACTGAGCATGGGCTCCCGAGTGGCGCGGTGGTCTAAGGTACTGCATCGCAGTGCTAGAGGCGTCATTACAGACCCTGGTTCGAATCCAGGCTGTATCACAACCGGCCGTGATTGGGAGTCCCGTAGGGCGGCATTTTTAAAATCTTCTTTTTAGTCCAGAACTAGGCTTAAATCTGTGTCTGATACTATTCTCCCTCCCTCCAGACATTTCTTCGTTCGCTGGTAGAGTGTACAGGAGACAGTGGCGAGAGGAGGAGACTACAGGAGCTGTGTAGTAAACAGGGATCAGCCGACTACAACCTCTATGTCAGAGACCCCAGCCTAGGACTATTGGACCTGCTCAGGGCTTTCCCCACCTGCCAGCCCCCTCTCAGTCTTCTCATAGGTCAGAACCCACTCCCTCTCCTGTCAGTCATAATGTTTTAGCCAATCCGAGTGCATTGTTTTAGGTTTTACATGTCACAAAACATGTCTCTAGTTTCTAATGATCACCAATACAGGGAGAGCGTCAAAGGAAGGTACTGCTATTTCTCATCTATCCAGCAGAGGGCAGTATAGCCTCAGTAAATGCAGCATCAATCAAATTGTACATAGAGCGTTTTTCCCTGACTTCACTCTTTTCCTTCATTTTTCTTTTTTGGGAGTCAGGAACCACTGGTGGGTCACAAGAATAAGAATACACCATTTAACAATTTCCTTTTTGGGGTCATAGATAACAACTTGATTGAAGCTATGCAGGAACATTGGTTGTATGAAAAACCTCTGAAAAACATTGGTTGTTTTTCATACAACCAATGTTCCTGCATAGCTTCAATCAAGTTGTTATCTATGACCCCAAAAAGGAAATTGTTAAATGGTGTATTCTTATTCTTGTGACCCACCAGTGGTTCCTGACTCACCATTTGGTCGCCCCTGACATGGAGAACTGTTGGCTGCAGACATTCGGGCATTATAGACTCTCATGGCATAAGGCCTAGAATTGCTCTGATGATGACTTGTGTAGATTTTGTTGTAGCCCATGGGAAAGGTTATTTATATCAGATGAATACATAAAAGTAATCTAAGCAATCTAATATTCATAAAAAATGTTTAGACTGGAACTGTTATTTGTCCCATTTGCACTTGCACGTTGCAATGTCCTCCCTCAAAAGAGCTGTTTCACAGCTTAATATCCAATGTCAAAGTTATTTTGGGCCTTTTTGCTAACTGCAGCACCTTCCCAGTAGTGGAACTGAGCGATGCAGATATCTGGCCATTTGGAAATGGGGACATTAGTACGGCTGGTGAAGAATGTGCTGGTGGAAGCGTTTTGGGGCCACCAGCTGTTGCTGGGGTCCTGTCATTGACTGTCCTACTACATTTGACAGGGACAGAGCTACAGCGCTACAGCGCTGTGGATGGCAGGGCAGGCCAGGAGTTAACGATCACTACTGCTCTGACATTTACTGGCCTCACCCCATTTAGCTTGACTTTTTACTATGGTACTGAACCTCCTAGCTACAGATGCTGTGGAATGTAAAGGTTGGTTAAAGAGGTGATTTGTAATTGTAATACACTTTGGGGTTATGGTTTCTAATCATGACTTGTGCAATGGCCAAAAACCTGAAGGAACACAGACTTTTTTTACAACAAAAAATGAGATGTCACTCATAGTGTGAAAAATCTCAAACACTACTATAAAATATTAAAGGAATATCTTGTAATATGCATCATGTTGTCATAGTCTGTGATAGAAAGTCAGCTGTCAACTCAGAGACATGGCCGGGCTGTAGACAAACAGAAAGGGAATAAGACTGTGAATGGGCATGTTAAACCTGTCACTGAGGAGATGGGGAAGGCAGGGAGTGATAGAATTCCAGCGGTGCCTGGGGTGCTGGGTGCCTCTTGTCTCAGTGATACACCCTGAGTTGTTTAATGTAGAAGAGAGAGAGAGAAGGGCTGAGTTAGTCCAGCTGTTTTGATTCTTTCTCTCTCTCTGCGTCTCTCTCACTCTGTCTCTCTCGCGCACTCTACCTGCTGTCTCTGTCTCTCTCTCTCTCGTGTGTGCACTCTACAGTCTCTCTCTCCTCTCTCTGTCCAGCTGTTTGGGTTACCTTAGGGTTGAAGGGGAAAACATTTTGTTTCTGGCAGAACTCAGCTGGTGCATATGGTGTAGTGTAAATGACGCTCTCTTCTTGAATGGGGTTGAGGGTATTTTAGGAGATTGTAGTAGATTTTTCTAATGTTTTTTTTACCCTGCCCTAACCACTGATATTACTCAAAAAAAGAATATTTTGTTATAACATTGAACTCAAACTCTTTTCCTGCACCATATTCCTCAGAGGCCTCATGGCCAGACACCAAATTACCCCAAAAGAGGGCACCTTCATAGCTGACATTGAAATAAGGTGGACATTAACTATCTCCATCCTACAGGCACCAGATCTACACTCTAGGGATCTCAGAAGTGTATAACTTTATGATTTCATGAATACAGAAGTATGCCCTAAAATAAACCTGAGTGTGTGCTAAGAAAAAAGGACTTGGAGGTTGGGTGAAGTAGCTGAAGTAGCTTCCTCCTCCTCCCATTCCTCCATTGACAGTGATCTAGATGGAAACATCAGACATGGGATAGTGATGGATGGATGGATATACTTCCACCAGTTGTTTTCCTTGTTCTTTCAGAACATTTGCCCAAACTGCAACCAAGACCGTACTCAGCGGCAAGGTAAGCTGGTCTCATAGTTCCTACAATGTTTCATTGTTTTCCTAATGTTTAACCTAGACTTTACTTCTTCAAATCAAACAAACCTGAAACCTGCTGTATGTAAAATATTGTGTGACTCTGAATGACAACATAATGATGTTTGTTTCCAACATTAGGGATGTTTTCCTAAAGAAGTTAAATTGTCTTTGTGTTTTGTTTCCTTGCCACGATACTAACGAGTATTCAGACAAACACACACATGCTCAGTAACACACAGCGAATGAGAGTGGGAAACCATTACATTATCCCCTACATTACTGTCCATGAGTACCATTTTAAACACGTCAACACTGGTTTCCTATGCTCATTAGTTGTGTGTTAGTTTGTGTGTGTGTGTGTGTGCGTGCTTCGGTGGGGGACTGTAGTCGATCAGATACAGCTGGAGCATTAGGAGGCTGCATCATTGATGCTGTGGTCAATAGAGGTCCCCAGAGGCCTGCAGGATGGGAAGACTGAAAATCAGAGAGAGATAGGGAGGAGATAGAGAAATCAAAATGCGAGAGGGAGAGAGCAGTCCACCAGATGGAGAGGAATCGGTGAAAGAGGTAGAGGGAGAAAGAGGGGAATATTAAAGAGGGAGAGAGAGAGAGTACAGTTGGTGTTTGTGGATGAGAACCAAAGGGTTGTTTACTCTGTGCAATGTAGAGTATAGCCTGCCCTGTTTTATCTATATATTGTAGCACATCTACAGTATCTAATGATGTGTCACATTCACACTTATTTCCATAGCCTAATTAGTGGCGCACCAACAGGACACTTACTTCCTTGCTATGGTATACAGTCAGCCACAGTGTCTGCTAAATGACTAAAATGCACTTACAGTGCAGTGAAAAAGTATTTGGCACCTTTCTAATTCTCTCTACTTTTGCAAAATAGAGTAAATCAGAAAGGGGGAAATACTTTTTCAGTGCACTTTATTTACCCTCCACATAATGTACTTTTACAACAAGATTGTACACTAAAGCGGAAAACTCACCAGAAGGGGGCGGGCGAAGAAAGCAGAGCCAGGCGGGTGGAAAGGACAGGCAGAGCAGTGACTGTATGCTAGCAGGATAGTTCCATATCGCCATCTTTGCTGTTTGCGATGTTGTTTCTATAAGTGGATGAATTGTTCTAATTGAGCATGTATGGTAAAGCCTCGATCCTTAGCTACCTCTTCTCCTTCTCTCCCTCTACCCTTTCCCTTCCTCTCTCCTCCAGCTCCAGTAAGAGACATCCAGGTCGGCTGCACTTTGTGTTCAACGTCATAGAGTTTCCAGCATGCACTTGGAGACCCACGGGGAGGTGGGGCCTGTGTACTGGTTGGCTCTCTGACCTCGTCGACCCCATCCTGTTGCACCCTGGGAAGTCTCAGCCCTCCAGCACCCCAGCCCTCCCTAAGGTGAGTAGAGGAGTAACCTATGTGTGTGTTTGTGCGAGTGTGACACAGCGTAACACTTTTTTACCTTTGACCCCAGGTCCATGTGAGTCTGCGTCAGAACTGCTCCTTCCGCCTGCCCTCTGACCGCTCAAAACCCCTCATCATGATTGGACCAGGCACTGGCGTCGCGCCCTTCATTGGTTTCCTCCAACAAAGGTACAGCCCACAAAGATGGAGGATTCATACTAACCTTCCCAGGCTACTCTTCTGTTATAAGTGATGCTTGTTTGTCTGATTAGTGGAACTGGTGAGTTATTTGAGTTTTGATGACAAACTTCTTGTGAAGCTTACTCTCTATCAGTGTGCACTGGTCAAGAACATAAATATGTTAATCACCAGGTTGCTATAACAACCATACGCAACAGGAAGTGTTTCAGCTTTGATGAGTGTGTCATCAAATCAAGTGTTTACTGTGATGTCGAGTGGTAATTAATCAAGTTTTTGCATTAATCTCCATAATAAATTACAATAGATCCCATCAAAGATTCACAACACTCTCTTTCCAAATGTGTATGGTGGTATAATGATGGTAGTAATATTGCAGACATGGCTGTGATTAACACTTGTATTTCACTTAAACTACCTGTAGGAGGAAATTGTCTGGCCTCTAAATGCGGATCTAAGGTCAGCTTTGCATTCTACCCCTAATGGTTAAGGTCAGGATTTGGAGAGGGTAAGCTGATCCTAGATCTGTGCCTAAGGGCAACATCCCACTGAGGTAATAAGACAAGCCATTCCAGAGCTGCTGTCTGTCTGGTGTTTATGACTGTAATGAACAGTTATGGGTCAAACTGGCCGATGGAGACGTATTGATTTGAATGTAAAGAGACCAGTAGACCGTCTGTGTGTCGTTAATGTAAATCATAGCTGGTGATTACTGGGGTGGTGTAAAAGCAATATTGACCTGTGCGGATGTGTGTGAGTGTGTGAATGTCTGTGCATCTCTGTGTGTGTGTGCGCGTGCACATGCGTGTGCCTTGTAAAAGACCAGCCGTTAACATAGATGGAATACATAAGTAATGGCTTGTAGAACAGTCCTGTGTAGCTCAGTTGGAAGAGCATGGCACTTGCAACGCCAGGGTTGTGGGTTCGTTTCCCACGGGGGGCCAGTATGAAGAAAAAAAAAATGTATGCACTCACTAACTGTAAGTCGCTCTGGATAAGAGAGTCTGCTAAATGACTAAAATGTAAATGTAGAAGGTGCTGCTTGGTGTAATTTGACAAGACTAACTTTGTGGGTCATTTGGGATAGCTAAGCGTACACCAAAAGCCTACTAACATCATCTTACACCTAGGGCTGTTGCGGTGACTGTATTACCGACAGTTAACGCAGTAAAATTCCACGTGACTGTTGAGTCACCGTAATTATTTTTATTTATTTTTGGTCATTTAGCAGACGCTCTTATCCAGAGCGACTTACAGGAGCAATTAGGGTTAAGTGCCTTGCTCAAGGGCACATCGACAGATTTTTCACCTAGTCGGCTCGGGGATTATCCTAGTATGCACTCTGGACATGCATTAGTAGTACCCAACTCTCTAATGATCATCAGGTCGCTAACAGCCTGGTACTCAGGGCTCTATTGTCCCTCTAACCACTCTGACATCAATGCAAATGCAATATAAAATCACATCAAACACATCATCAAAACAGTATGTTCTTTTAAAACTCACCTCACTGTGATTGATCAATTTGAAGAAAGAAATTCAACAACAGGTTGAAACTGAGTGGAAAACATGGTCATTGTGGATGTTCTTTTCAAAGCACAACACAATGAAATGGGCAGCGCTTTCTAAGGTGATGATTAATTCAGAATGTCCATATGCATATTAGAGTTTATGCATACGCATAGGCCTATGAGCCCAATCCCCCCCCCCCAAAACAAACCCTGAATTAAAATAAAGATTGTGCTGTTATACAATACATAGCCTATCTCATATTACGCATCGCAGAAAAACATATAAAAAAAAAACTGATTCAAGATTTATTTGGGACATAATTGGTATAGCCTGTACTCCAAACTTAATCAAATTATATTAATCGCCTTTGAGTGTGGACTGTATTATTATGCATACTGGATGGACTTAGTTACCTTATGCTATGCTCCAAACTTTCTATTCATGAGTCTGGGAAAGAACGTATAGGCCTAGGCAATGCTGTTGGTTCATTGATTGTGCAGGATGGCTTAGAGTTAGCCTACAATTAAAGTGAATTTGTATTTGATTTTGAATAGCCTAGTAATAGGGCATTTTTTATATTTTCATAATTAACAGGCTGACACATTACCATTTAGCTACATAATATCTCCCCACTGTGTGGTTCCATCTTCTCCTCTCTCTCCTTCATTCCTTTCTCCATTACGCAGAGAGAGGGGGCTGTCAACAGTTTAATGAAATAGGTTTCGTTGTGAATACATGTTACTATCGATGTTCCCGAACAGATTTCACTAGGTTTCCTAAATTAAGCACTGGCTAAATGCAGGAACAGGGTTGGAGAGCCCATGGCATACAGAGTTTGGGCGGAATATCAGTTGTCGCCCAGCAAGAGGCCTGGAAAAACGCCTGAAAAACGCCTGAAAAATGAACCAGCGGGAAAGCGGCCTCCATTCACAATTCGAGTGCATATGGATGACGTCTTTTTTCCCCTGTTCCTGCCCATTTGATAAAGGCCATTCTAAATCTAAACTAATTTCACATATTAGTAAAGACAAGATTAAATTAAGAATGGTGAAAATATGATACCCTTGAGGAGAGAACAGTGTGTGCAGCCTGAGGCAAGGAACAGAGCGCAAGCTTTTTTTGCTACTTTCTCAAATCATCAATAACCTATAGTCGCATCATGCAGCCCATATATGTTTTGATTTCTAAGACATTCTAAGGTTTGTATCATTCACAACTAAAGTTGCCAAATAACTCTAAATCTAGCGGGTAGGACCTGTCTCAAATGATCACTTTTACGCTCAACATAGCCACTTCATATGCACACTCGCTCCGGAATGGGAAAAATATCCTTTCTATTTTATTCAGTTAATTATATTCTTCTTAGTATAAAATCATATAATATAAAATAATGGCACAGGACTTATAAGCATATCTTGTCTGCTAAATGAACAAGCCTGCAGCTTCTTTAGACCTGCCTAAAATAAATAATGGATTTATTGTGATGGTGTATATTAAATTGATTTATTCAACTTTTTGAAATGTAGATGTTCTAAAGGCACACATCAGCAGCTTGTAAGCATTGAAGCCTGTAGATGCCAAATGTGTTTATGTTCATTGAAACCGGCAGTCTTTTGCATGACAATAACCGGCTGACAAAATGTCATGACCGCCACAGCAGTACTTACACCAACATCCTACTAACATCATCTTACCCCAACAGCCTACTAACATCATCGTTAACCAACAGCCTACTAACATCATCTTACCCCAACAGCCTACTAACATCATCTCAACCAACAGCCGACTAACATCATCTCAACCAACAGCCGACTAACATCATCTTACCCCAACAGCCTACTAACATCATCGTTAACCAACAGCCTACTAACATCATCTTACCCAACAGCCTACTAACATCATCGTTAACCAACAGCCTACTAACATCATCTTACCCCAACATCCTACTAACATCATCTTACCCCAACATCCTACTAACATAATCTTTCACCAACATCCTACTAACATCATCTTTAACCAACAGCCTACTAACATCATCTTTAACCAACAGCCTAACATAACTATCATCTTACCCCAACAAGCCTACGAACATCATCTTTAACAACAGCCTACTAACATCATCTTTATCAACAGCCTACTAACATCACTTCACCAACAGCCTACTAACATATCATCTTTGAACCAACCAGCCGTACAACATAATCTTTAACCAACATCCTACTACATCATCTTACCCCAACCGGCCTACTAACATCATCTTTACCCAACAGCCGACTAACATCATCCCAACCAACAGCCGACTAACATCATCTTACCCCAACATCCTACTAACATAATCTTACCCCAACATCCTACTAACATAATCTTACCCCAACATCCTACTAACATCTTACCCCAACAGCCTACTAACATAATCTTTAACCAACAGCCTACTAACACCCATCTTACCCGCAACAATCCTACTAACATCATCCTAACCCAACCATCCTACTAACATCATCTTACCCCAACATCCTACTAACACATCTTTAACCACCCCAACATCCTACTAACATCATCTTTAACCAACAGCCTACTAACATCATCTTACCCCAACATCCTACTAACATCATCTTACCCCAACATCCTACTAACATCATCTTACCCCAACAGTCTACACATCCTACTAACATCATCTTACCCCAACATCCTACTAACATCATCTTACCCCAACACCTACTAACAACATCTTTAACCCCAACACTCCTACTAAACATCATCTTAACCAACCCTCTAATCATTTACCACACCACACAATCTACCACAGCCTACTAACATCATCTTTAACCACAGCCTACTACATATCTTTAACCAATCATCTACTAACACATCTTAACCAACAGTCCTACTAACATCATCTTTAACCAACAGCCTACACATCTAACCCACATCCTACTAACTATCTTACACTAACACCCAACTAAATCTACCAACATCCTACTAACATCATCTTACCCCAACATCCTACTAACATCATCTTTACACCAACAGCCTACTAACATCATCTTTAACCAACAGCCTACTAACATCATCTTTAACCAACAGCCTACTAACATCATCTTTAACCAACAGCCTACTAACATCATCTTTAACCAACAGCCTACTAACATCAATCTTTAACCCAACATCCTACTAACATCATCTTTAACCAACAGCCAACTAACATCATCTTTAACCAACACCTCACATCACTACCACATACTAAACACATCTTTACCCAACATCCTAACTAACATCATCTTTAACCAACAGCCAACTAACATCATCTTAACCAACACCTACTAACATCATCTTACCACACCCAACTCACTACCCCACCTTAATAAATATCTTTACACCAACACCTATAACATATCTTACCAACATCCTACTAACATATCTTATACCAACAGCCTACTAACATCATCTTAAAGGCCTACTACATCATCTTCACCAACATCCTACTAACATCATCTTACCCCAACATCCTACTAACATATTCACCTTACCCACAACAACTATCTACCAAACATCATCTTACCCAACATCCTACTAACATCATCTTGTACCAACAGCCACTAAACATCTTAAACAACCTACCTAACATCATCTTAACCCAACATCCTACGAACATATCTAACTTTCACCAACATCCTACTAACATCATCTACTTAACCAACACATCCACTTAACAATCATCTTTAACCAACAGCCTACTAACATCATCTTTAACCAACACCCTAACTACATAAACCTACTTAACCAACAACCTACTAACCAAAGAACTCATCATAACACAGCTTATCCTTAAAATCCTACTAACATCATCTTACCCCAACATCCTACTAACATCATCTTACCCAACCCAATCATCAACCAACACCTACTAACTAATTCTACTAACCTAAACAGCCTACAATCATCTATCCAACATCCTACAACACATCCACAACATCACTAACACACTACCCCAACATAATCTTAACCAACAGCCTACTAACATCACTAACACTAACATCACTTACAACATCCTATAACATCTCTTACCCCACATTTTACATTTTTAGTCATTTAGCAGACGCTCTTATCCAGAGCGACTTACAGAAGCAATTAGGGTTAAGTGCCTTGCTCAAGGGCACATCGACAGATTTTTCACCTAGTCGGCTCGGGGATTAGAACCAGCGACCTTTCGGTTACTGGCACAACGCTCTTACCCACTAAGCTACCTGCCGCCTTACCCCTACTAACATCATCTTACCCCAACATCCTACTAACATCATCTTACCCCAACATCCTTCTAACATCATCTTAGATGTTGGCCTAGTCATGTTATTATGACTAAATAGAATACCCAGTATCACATGTCATTGTGTCAGAGCACGAATAAAGTTGTTCCCATACAGCTTGCTGGCCTGAATGTTTCATCCAGACTGTACTTTTATACCTCAATGATTCAGACAGAGTGACTTGACTACTGAGCTGTTTACCAGTCAACTCCAGTTGTCATGTTTCTCTGATGTCTTCCGATGTGACACTGTTGTTTGGTATTCACTGGCGTGTGTGTGTCAGTATTCTGAGGTGATGCTGGTTGGTTGTTAATCACGTGTGTCTGTGTGTGTGTATATATTAAGGTGACGCTGTGTTGGTTGTTAATGGCTGGTGTTTTTTTGTTGGGGCTGACTGCGTTGTGATGAATGTTCTAGAAGGTTACTGATGTTTCTCAATGGGGAGAGCTGTCTGTTGTCTGCACCTGTAGGACACCACCTCCACGGGACTGATGAATGGCTAACACCGCTACCAACACCGCTACCATGACATGGTCACATGCCACCCGCCAACTACACCAAAGTGTGTGTGTGTGTGTGTGGTTGATTACTTATGTTGCTAGTCCGACTACGCCAACTGTCAATGTCGGGATGGGGAGTGTTCTCTCATATGACGTTCAGTGACCTGACCTCACCTCACAGTTGTGTCCTGCTGTTCAGTGCATTAGTTCACTTTAAAGCTTTTCCATTTTCTTGTGACCATCAACTAAAGAAACCAATGTCTCTTGGCACAGCCCAGGCTTTAGCCTTGACCTAGAAAAAAACGAGCACTGTCCCATCTGGAGAAAATATGCTCTCCAGTGTGTTTTTCTAAATTGTTCTTAGTGAGCTTCTTTAGTGTAGTATGGGGCTGCAAATTCAATGTCTGTTTTGTATGGAATGTCATTGTTTATTTATTGAACCCTTATTTTACCAGGTAAGTTGGCTGAGAACACATTCTCATTTACAGCAATGACCTGGGGAATAGTTACAGGGGAGAGGAGGGAGGATGAATGAGCCAATTAGAAGCTGGTGATGATTAGGTGGCCATGATGGTATGCGGGCCAGATAGGGAATTTAGCCAGGACACCAGGGTTAACAACCCTACTCTTACGATAAGTGCCATGGGATCTTTAATGACCACAGAGTCAGGATATTCATTCCGTTTAACGATCCGTCCGAAAGACGGCACCCTACACAGGGCAATGTCCCCAATCACTGCCCTGGGGCATTGGGATCTTTTTTCAGACCAGAGGAAAGAGTGCCTCCTACTGGCCCTCCAACACCACTTCCCACAGCATCTGGTCTCTCATCCAGGGACCGACCAGGACCAATCCTGCTTAGCTTCAGAGGCAAGCCAGCAGTGTGATCTGCTCATATGCCCAAGGAATCTTACATTAAGCGTCCTCTTACATGTTTAAGGTTTTTCAGATTACATAGCTATCAAGTTACATGATGTACCTTCTTTCAAACCTGATTGATATAACTGGGACATTCCACTCTATAGCATTCTGAAAATGTTTAATGTCTACAATAACACCAATCAGGAACATATATGGTAGTGATGGTACATAGCAACCTTCAGTAAGCCCTGATGATTGGCTGTAGAAAGGCGACTTCTCGCCTCTTAAGTGCAGTCTGACAGTCCTTTTCTCTCCTTTATACTCCTACATAGACAGTCCTTTTCTCTATATAAAGCTTTTCACTGCTGGAAGGCGAAGAAGAAGCTGGGGCAAATGATCTTTCAGTGCACCTATCTCTCTTCTCTCTCTTTCTCTCTTTTATTTTCTCTCCCTCGTCTCTTCATGCCCCCCCCCTCTCTGCTTGTCTCGCTCTCTTTCTCTAGTAGTCTGCTTGTCTTTCTCCACTCTCTCTCCCCTTTGTACAGTACCCAAATTAAGATTCCAAACAAGGCGTCTACCCCTGATGCTGTGCTTTGATAATAGATAACAACGTACATTTTGACAGCAGGATGCTTTATCACCAACAAAACCTGAAGGTGCCTCCTTTTAAGCAACAAAAACAGCATGGGGACGCTTCAATTCTTCCTCCTCCCTCTCTCCCTCCATCGCTCCCTCTCCCCTCCCCCTTCCATCATTCTGTCTTCCTCTGTCAATCAATGGATGTTTTGAAAAGTACTTTGTGCCACTTTGTAACCACGGAAGCAAAATAGAGAGGGAGCGGTTGAAGGGTCATAACTGGCTCAGTGGAATCTGGAGACCTCCGGCTGTCTGATATTGATTAGTCATGTCTGAGCTTAAGGATGAGTAATGGAGCAGGATGACCTTACCTCAGGATCAGGCTGGGTTGTTACAAACCTTAAACAGTCAGGGTAGCATGCTGTTTTCATTCATCAGTGCAACAAGAGGTCTGATTGACGTTATTTATTGAGGTTGTTCATCGGATGACAGGTAGAGTTTTTGTTAATGTAAACTGCTCTCCATAGTTTTGCCATATTCAGCTGAATGCATTCAAAATCGGGCATGCTAAACGTCAGTAATCATAGCTCAGTGGCACTTCCTGGAATTATCGCGTACAGGCACATTTTGTCACAGTCTCTTAAAACTCTCACAACACCGTTTATGCAGAGCATCAAACCCCATTGGACATGAAAAGGGGCAGAGGAGACCTTGCTCCTGCTGAATCACAGTTTCCCCTGCTCCCTGTTCATCAGAGAGGCATTGAGAGGCAACCGCCTTCTTTGGACCCAAAATTGAGTATCTGGCTGTAATATTGTGATGCTGCTTCCCTCAGGGCCTGTGTTCTGGGCAGAGATGTGATTTGTATTCAGAGTGAGGGGCTGGTGTGGTCTGTGTGGCGCTGTAGAATTGGAAGCCAGGTTTTTCATATTGATTTTGATCCTTGTGGGGAGGGGTGAGTGAGGCGAGGCGTAGAGAGAAGAGGAGCCCAGTTAAATTAGTTTACTGACTTTTACTCAGGAATTGCAGATTGACTAATGGATGATGTCACTTGTTTGGTCTGCTTACCTAAGGGAGGCTTCATGAGACTTATTGGAATGCTCAGGATCGGAGCATTCAGAAACCTTGTCCTGTCTCTGTCGGCACATTGTGAAAATTCCCTCCTGTTGAACCAGACTCAGGAGTCCGAATGCCATGACAGAGAAAAGGCCTATGTCATATCCAGGGGTCTTGTTAAAAGCTATCTACTGTACTTTGCTTGTGAATTACCAGTCCTTTTCCTACAAAACATTGTCATTGTCGTCCAGAGCGAGTTTCAAGTCACACCTCTTTATGAAATGACAAATGTGACGTCAGTCCCCTCACAATGACACATTCTGTGAATGTGAATGGGTTAGGTATTACACCCAGGAAGTAGCATCTTATCCTTGAGGGCCTCTGACTACTGCATCTCTCCACAAAGAGCACTCCATCCATCCTTCTTCCAGCTTTTCTTCTGTAGCTCTTTCTGAATAGATGTTCTTTGGTCACCTCTCTCTCTCTGCCCAGATGGGGTATGGTGATGGCGCTTGATCTTTAGATGGCCAGATGACTGATGCATTGGTAAAGGTCGGAGGTCGTGTATGTGATCAGTAGAAGAGAGCTGTCACCCCCCCCCCCCAGCAGGTGTGCTGTGTAGATAGCATCACACCGCCTTAGCGGTTTGTGTCTTTGAGCCACCTCGGCGCAAAGGATTCTGGGAGCCCTGCCAGACTCGTTGGCCACAGGAGTAATCACTTTTATAGAACCGGGGCTGACGTGCAGGGGGAGATACACATACAATATACACATACACACCAGTGTTTTCCATTAGCGCCGGCCGTCGGCTAATCAGACAGTTACAATAACTTTTTCCACTTCATATTAACTAGGCTACCTTTCATTTAAAGGTTTCAAATCGCTAGTCCGTAGTACCCTCTCCCGCTAGAATGAACGATATGCATCTTCTAGCGATCTATTGATAGGATAGGCTGCCTGTCAGTCACAAAGCGAGCGATGACAGGGAAACGCAGTCTGCTGTCTGTTCCGCCTCCGGGTATGATTTGTGTGCACTGTGGTTGGTTGCAGTCAAAAACGGAAGAGGGAGAGAGCATGATGCTCGTGAATTTTCACGTCCCATGTAATGTAAGTGGGAACGATGAGTCGTAATCCACGACTAATAGTTGTTTTCTCGCACATTTATTTATTTTCTTTCGCGTGTTTCACATAGCCAGCCATGCAGAGTCGTGGCGCATAGTAGGCTATTTTACTGTGCTTTTATTGACACCTGAACAGTAAGTTGACTAGTTTATAAAAGGTGTTGAACTGACTACATAAAGTTGATCTCCTATATCCCTTTCACGGCCGGACTACCGCATTTGGGGCCCCGGGACACCGACCTCCAGGGGGCCCACAACTCAAAAAATAAAAAACAATTGGTTAGGGGCCACCTGGAGGTCGGGAGCCCCGGGGCACGTGCCCTGTGTGCCCGTTCGGTAATCCGGCCTTGATCCCTTTGCCATTCATAAATCATGCAACATGGTTATATGTCTATTATATCGTATCGGGCCAAGTAAACCAAAGGATTTCCTAGGTTTCCAGAGCTTGAAGAATTCTTGAAAGAATAATGTGCAAATATTGTACAATCCAGGTGTGCAAAGCTCTTAGAGACTTACCCAGAAAGACTCACAGCTGAAATCGCTGCCAAAGGTAATTTTTACATGTATTGACTCAGGGGTGAGAATACTTATGTAAATGAGTATGTTTTTCATTTTCAATACATTTGCAAACATTCTAAAAACATATTTTTTCACTTTCTCATTATGGGGTACTGTGTGTAGATGGGTGAGATTTTTTTTTTTTTTTATACATTTTGAATTCAGGTTGTAACACAACAAAATGTGGAGTAAGTCAAGGGGTATGAATACTTTCTGAAGGCACTGTATAATCAAGCTGTTTATCAGTCTCTCTGTGACCGCCGATAACTTCGAAACGAAGTTCACTACAAATACAAAGTTATAAATGTCTTTGCAATTGAACAAGCGAAGGATCAAAATAAAATAAAAACTGAGATGACTGCGTAAAACAATGAATACCTATAGGCTACATAGGCCTATATATTTCAAACATATGGTAATAAATGTAATGTTCAGTCAATTGAGTTCTATTTGTAGGCTACACTCTCTGTAATTGTTGCCTCAACATATTTCATGATGTGTACCAACGTGCGCAATCATGTGCCAAATAAATCTGTGATTGAGTGCATTATCTCTCTAGAAGCTGTTCCGTCGTCAGTATTGTGGTATAATTCTAATGTTAAGGTAAGATTTGAATGGAGAAATGTGGTCAGAGAGCAGTGCTGTATCAGTATCGACACATGCTTTCTGCGTGTTGTTTTGGGAAACGCATGTTACGTCTTCGTCCGTTGTAGGAAAGATGCATTGTTAAAACACTCGTAAGCCTAAGTTTCATCGCTATCGGGAAACATCTAACAATACACTGAATTCATACATTTTCAGTAATTTAAATTGTAAGGTAATGTCTTCCTACACAATACTGCAGCAAATTGTTCCAATCTGGGAGGTAAACTCGATAAAGTATTCAATAATTTCACTATGTGTTTTGGATGGAATCAAGGCATTAAATGTACCAGAGGCCACCAAAATGGAGCTCCTTAGGCAAAACAATTTGTCAACTGGCTGGCTATTTTTGATATTTGGCTGGCTACTCTATGTACTTGTGGAAAACACTGACACGGACACGCACGCCGGCCGAGTACTCAAGTCCTTGTTTTCATTTTAATGTATTGTGGAGTGTGATCCATCTCTTTTTTTTTTTTAGCGTGTAATTTTCGTGTCCTCTCTGTACTGCATCAATCCCAACCATGCATTAGGTAATTGTGGCACTCTACTGTATTGGTGTTGTAGGGAGATACAGCAGTGTCACTGCTCCATTTAACCTCTGTTGTGAGCAAGGACTCTGTCCTGTCTTCTCTCTCTCTGTTTTTATTGATTGGGCTTTGAGCTCTCCTGTATATTTATTTATTTTCTCATTTTTTTGTCTTTCAGGGAGAAGGAGAGGGAGGAAAACCCAGAGGCGGAGTTTGGTGAGACCTGGCTGTTCTTCGGTTGTCGCCATAGAGACCGAGACTTCCTGTTTAGGTGAGTGTCATTCTGACCAAAATGTTGGGTCTTTCCAAAATGGCACACTATTCTCTATGGGCCCTGGTCAAATGCAGTGCACTATATAAGGAGTGTGATCCCATTTCGGCTGCACCCATGCAACCCCAAAGTCTAGCACCCACCTGGGTGACCTTGGACTTTTTCTCCAATCAGTGCAGATCGTCATGTAAACAAACAAACTGAGTGAGCAGCATGGTTCCCTGTAACGTGCCACTTCCTCTGTGTCCTTGACGGTTGTGGTGTGATTGAGACGGCGGTAAGATTGAAGTGGACCTTGAAGGACAAGACTTTAAACTTGATATAATGGGATTATGGTCTGGCTGCCCCATAGGACCACAGAGATACAGTATGTCTCACTAGAACTACACTGTATGGCAGAGATAGGCAACTAGATTCAGCCTTGGGACGATTTTTGTTGGAGCGGATGGTTGGGGGGCCGGAACATAATTATAATAATTTGACCACAACTAAGCGCAAAAATAGATTGTATTTGAAAATAACAATCATTTCATCATACCTTGATAACATTGAGACACGATCGCTTATGTCTCTTTTTTTATTTGTGGGAATATATGGGAACAGATTTCCTAAATTAAACACATTTCTAGCTGCATTCCTTTTGATTTTACAGTATTTATTTACCCAAAACTAAAATCCTTTATATAAATATTTATATACAGTTGAAGTCGGAAGTTTACATACACCTTAGCCAAATACATTTAAACTCAGTTTTCCACAATTCCTGACATTTAATCCTAGTAAAAATCACCACTTTATTTTAAGAATGTGAAATGTCAGAATAATAGTAAATCAAATGATTTATTTCAGCTTTTATTTATTTAATCACATTCCCAGTGGGTCAGATTTTTAAAAAATAAACACTCAATTTTGTATTTGGTAGCATTGCAAACGTTTCGGGTAGCCTTCCACAAGCTTCCCACAATAAGTTGGGTGAATTTTGGCCCATTCCTCCTGACAGAGCTGGTGTAACTGATTCAGGTTTGTAGGCCTCCTTGCTCGCACACGCTTTTTCAGTTCTGCCCACAGATTTTCTATAGGATTGAGGTCAGGGCTTTGTGATGGCCACTCCAATACCTTGACTTTGTTGTCCTTAAGCCATTTTGCCACAACTTTGGAAGTATGCTTGGGGTCATTGTCCATTTGGAAGACCCATTTGCGACCAAGTTTTAACTTCCTGACTGATGTCTTGAGATGTTGCTTCAATATATCCATATAATTTTCCTTCCTCATGATGCCATCTATTTTGTGAAGTGCACCAGTACCTCATGCAGCAAAGCACCCCCACTGCATGATGCTGCCACCCCCATGCTTCACGGTTGAGATGGTGTTCTTTGGCTTGCAAGTAGCGGTAGCAGGTAGCTTAGTGGTTAAGAGCGTTGTGCCAGTAACCGAAAGGTCGCTGGTTCTAATCCCCGAGCCGACTAGGTGAAAAATCTGGATAAGAGCGTCTGCTAAAAAAAAAAAGAAAAAAAAAAGCCTTCCCCTTTTTCCTCCAAACATACCGATGGTCATTATGGCTAAGAGGACATCAGGCCAGAGGAGATTTCTCCAAAAAGTACGATCTTTATCCCCATGTGCAGTTGCAAACCGTAGTCTGGCTTTTTTATGGCGGTTTTGGAGCAGTGGCTTCTTCCTTGCTGAGCGGCCTTTCAGGTTATGTCGATATAGGACTCGTTTTACTGTGGATATAGATACTTTTGTACCTGTTTCCAGCATCTTCACAAGGTCCTTTTGCTGTTGTTCTGGGATTGATTTGTACTTTTCGCACCGAAGTACGTTCATCTCTAGGAGACAGAACGCGTCTCCTTCCTGAGCGGTATGACGGCTGCGTGGTCCCATGGTGTTTATACGTGCGTACTGTTGTTTGTACAGATTAACGTGGTACCTTCAGGCATTTGGAAATTGCTCCCAAGGATGGCTGATTTCTTTTGATTTTCCCATGAGGTCAAGCAAAGAGGCACTGAGTTTGAAGGTAGGCCTTGAAATGCATCCACAGGTACACCTCCAATTGACTCAAATTATATCAATTAGCCTATCAGAAGCTTCTAAAGCCATGACATCATTTTCTGGAATTTTCCAAGCTGTTTAAAGGCACAGTCAACTTAGTGTATGTAAACTTCTGACCCACTGGAGTTGTGATACAGTGAATTATAAGTGAAATAATCTCTCTGTAAACAATTACTTGTGTCATGCACAAAGTAGATGTCCTAACCGACTTGCCAAAACTATAGTTTGTTAACAAGATGTGTGGAGTGGTTGAAAAACGAGTTTTAATGACTCCAACCTAAATGTATGTAAATTTCCGACTTCAACTGTATATATATTTATATTCTTTTTACTAAAAATGTTGGTGGGACAAAATAAATCACTCACGGGCCAGTTTTGGCCCACGGGCCGCCTGTTGCAGACCTCTACTGTATGGGCTACTGAGCAACACTGGTACATACACAGGGATGGGGAGATTTTAGCGGGGATGGGGCATATCGTTAGGATGGAGGGTATATTGTACACTGTAATGTTACAAACCCATAGATAGAGAGATATACAGTAGATATGACATACAGTAGATGTTGCAATTCCAGTTCAGAAGACTTGAAACCATTTTATTTCAAACCAAACTTACTTGCTTAATAGAGAATGCAAATCTACCAAGCTCTCCTCAAATGACTCCTAACACAACACAAGGCCATGTGAAGGCCAATGCACCAATCAAAGCTGTATTCTGACTAGATCACAAAGCGATGCATTGGTCCCGAAAATCATGAAAGAACAGATCAAAGAAAAATCTGCCTGTGTTCGTATATTTCCCTCTATCTCTTTGTTAAATACGTCCTCACAGCCAGGTATCCTGGGCTGATGAGTGTTTGTTCACAATGTGGGTCTCTCTATCTGGGGGAATTCAAAATGGACGCCCCACCGTGAAGACTGAATCGATTTAACATGTACTAATGAGCATGAAACAGCTGTATCAATCAAAACCAAATGCTGCATTTTCGGGAAGACGTAAAAAAGATTGTTCTTGCACTGTAGGAAGGCACATTTGGATTCATGTTATGTATGAAACTGTATGTTTACTGTGTGAAAAACCCATGTCAGCATCATATTTCAAACATGCTCTCTTGCAGCATGATAAAATCATTATATTAAACTTTACTCCAGAAATAAAACACAGCCTGCAATGTTTCGCATGTTCTTTATTATTATTATTATTATTGACCTAACCCGACTAGCCGTCATAAAAAATAAGTGTTCTCTTTGATGCTAAATATATCCTGTGGTCCTAGGCTAAACCCTGACATCTTGGGTGTGACATTATAGAGTAAAGTTCATTCCAGAATGTTCTTTAAAAACAAACAGGCTCTGGGATCAGCCTAATCAACCCCAACACTTAACATCTGTGTTAGAGGTTGACACCAATCTGACCTCCAGTCAGTTACGCTCAACCAGACACTCGGACCCCCTGCCGTTTGCACTCCTTTTCTCCCTTTCCCTCCCTATTTTTTCTCTCTTTTTCCCCTCTTTTCATGGATTGTGATTTCACTGCTGAGGGAAATGGGGTTACCGAGCTCTTGTTAAGGGCCAGAGTCGCACAACCGGACCAGGGCTGTTTTCTCTGTCAATACACACCACGGTTTGACTGAAGCCAGAGAGAAGAGCATTGCACAGTGGGGTGTGGGTGGGACCCCTGGTACCAGGATGTTAACCTTTCAAACAGAAATGAAAGTCGCATGATATTGCCTGACATTCAACAGAATAGAGGGGTAGGGAGAGAAAAAAGAGATTGGGAAATGGCAATACTGTTTGTCTCTCATGGAAGTCTTATACAGTCAGGTCCAAAAACTATTGGCACCCTTGATAAAGATGAGCAAAAAAAGACTGTATAAAAATAAATACAAATACTGAGCTATATTGTATGCTAAAAAAAGGAGGAAATTATATTATTTTATACTAATACAATTGCTCAGAGAAAGAGATTTTGTTTAACCCTCCCGTTGTCCTAGGGTCAAAATGACCCGCAACTGTGTTGAACCAACTTTATTAAATTTTTATATTTTTGGGATCATTTGTGAGAAGGAGGCAGTGATACTTTCTTTAAAGTCTCACTGCCTCCTTCTCACAAATGATCCCCAAAATATAAAAATTAAATAAAGTTGGTTCAACACAGTGGCGGGTCATTTTGACCCTAGGACAACGGGAGGGTTAACACATTATTTTTTTTCTTAAAAAGATAGTTGTCAAAATTATTGGCACCCCTAAAGATTCTTATAAAAACAAACAAAATTACATCTGCATTACCATTCTACTTTTTTAAGTTGACCTCAGTATAATGAAGTGTATTGTGACCTTCCATGGCTTCCTGTTTCACTGGGATATAAAAATGAGGTAACCTGCATGTAAAATCTTTGTCATCCATCATCATAAAAATGTGGTAAACTTTCCTGGCATTGGACCCATGTGTATCTTGTCCCCACGCACAATGAGGAAGATATTTTGGGAAGCAAAGTAAATTAGAAGGGCCAAAGTTGGAGAATTACAGAACTTTGTCACATCTTCAGGTCTCCAAATTTACAATTAGACACCACCTCCATGCTAATAGGATCTTAGGAAGGGTTGCCAGAAAAAAGCCTATATTGAGAGCAACAAACTAATGTAAACACCTGAAGTTTGCTAAATGGTATTGGCACTTGGATTGGAACCGGTGGCATGTTCAGATGACATGAAAATAGATATCTTTGGCCATGCACACCAGTACTGGGTTTAGCGTTGAAAGAAGGCTGTATCAGTAGAAAATAACCTCATACCTACTGTAAAATATGGTGGTGGATCTTTGACGTTATGGGGCTATTTTGCTTCCACTGGTCCTGGGGCCCTTGTTAAGGTCAAAGGCATCATGAACTTTACCAAGTACCAGGACCTTTTAGCCAAAAACCTGGTTGCCTCTGCTAGGAGGCAAGAACTTTGCAGCAAGTGGATCTTCCAGCAAGACAATAACCCCAAGCACACATCAAAATCCACAAAGAAATGGTTAACTGATCACAAAGTCCGCATTTTGCAATGTCCATCTCAGTCTCCGGACTTGAACACCATTGAAACCTGTGGTTTGAATTGAAGAGGGCAGTCCATAAGCGAATAATGAAGGATATCAAGGATCTAGAAAGATTCTGTATGGAGGAATGGTCTAAGATCCATTCCAATGTGTTCTCTAATCTCGCATAACATTTTAGAAATGCACTCAGTACTGTTATCCTCGCAAGGGGAGGGTGCCGGAGTATTGAAAACAGGGGTGCCAACTATTTTTACACGTATCTTTATTTTTTATTTTTGTTATTTGTTAAACAAAATCTTTCTGTGAGCAATTGTATTGGTATAAAATAATATAAATTCCCAATTTTGGGGGCATACAATATAGCTCAGTATTTGTATTTATTTTATACAGTCATTTTTTGCTCATCTTTATCAAGGCTGCCAATCATTTTGGACCTGACTGTATATCTGGAGAGAATATGTTGTCATGCTTTCCCCCCTAGACTTTTCTGTTAGTCAACACCTCACGTTAAAGGGTCTGTGTTCTTTATATTGTTATTTCACAACCAGGAAGTGAACCCTCATCACTGCTCTGTTGATACAGTCTGTGACACATAGGGCCGTCTAAGATTCTAGTCCAGACAGTCCCAGGGGACACACGTTCACTTCTCTCTCTTTCTCTCTTTTTCTTCCCTGTTTTTTCTCTTGTTATTCTAGCGCAGGGATCATCAACTAGATTCAGCCGCAGGCCGTTTTTTTTTCTTGAGCGGATGGTCGAGGAGCCAGTACATAATTACAAATAATTTGTAGACTGCAAATTGACCGCAAGAAGCCCAAACATAAATAATATTTGACTAGAACATAATAATTTCAAACCTTGCTTACATTTGAATATGATCACGTGTCTCTCTATTATGCATGGAAATACTTGGGATTCAGATTTCCCAAATTAAAATCACTTGGAGCTGATTTCCTGGTGTTTTTACAGTTTATGTCCAACAATGAAAATTCTATAAAAATTATATAATATAAAGTACCAGTCAAAAGTTTGGACACACCTACTCATTCCAGGGTTTTTCTTTATTTTTACTATTTTCTACATTGTAGAATAAAAGTGAAGATATCAAAACTATGAAATAACACATATGGAATCATGTAGTAACAGAAAAAGTGTTAAAAAAATTATTCAAAGTAGCCACCCTTTGCCTTGATGACAGCTTTGCACACTCTTGGCATTCTCTCAACCAGATTCATGAGGTAGTCACCTGGAATGCATTTCAATTAACAGGTTAAAAGTTAATTTGTGGAATTTCTTTCCTTCTTAATGCATTTGAGCCAATCAGTTGTGTTGTGACAAGGTAGGGGGGGTATACAGAAGATAGCCCTATTTGGTAAAAGACCAAGTCCATATTATGGCAAGAATGGCTCAAATAAGCAAAGAGAAACGACAGTCCATCATTACTTTAAGACATGAAGGTCAGTCAATCTGGAAAATGTCAAGAACTTTGAAAGTTTCTTCAATTGCAGTCGCAAAAATCATGAAACACTATTATGAAACTGGCTCACATGAGGACCACCACAGGAAAGGAAGACCCAGAGTTACCTCTGCTGCAGAGGATAAGTTCATTAGAGTTACCAGCCTCAGAAATTGCAGCCCAAATAAATGCTTCACCGAGTTCAAGTAACAGACACATCTCAAGATCAACTGTTCAGAGGAGACTGTGTGAATCAGGCCTTCATGTTTGAATTGCTGCAAAGAAACCACTACTAAAGGACACCAATAAGAAGAAGAGACCTGCTTGGGCCAAGAAACACGAGCAATGGACATTAGACCGGTGGAAATCTGTCCTTTTGGTCTGATGAGTCCAAATTTGAGATTTTTGGTTCCAACCGTTGTAGGTGAATGGATGATCTCTGCATGTGTGGTTCCCACCGTGAAGCATGGAGGAGGAGGTGTGATGGTGTGGGGGTGCTTTGCTGGTGACACTGTTGGTGATTTATTTAGAATTCAAGGCACACTTAACCAGCATGGCTACCACAGCATTCTGCTGCGAAACGCCATCCCATCTGGTTTGCGCTTAGTGGGACTATCATTTGTTTTTCAACAGGACAATGACCCAACACACCTCCAGGCTGTGTAAGGGCTATTTAACCAAGAAGCAGAGTGATGGAGTGCTGCATCAGATGACCTGGCCTCCACAATCACCCGACCTCAACCCAATTGAGATGGTTTGGGATGAGTTGGACTGCAGAGTGAAAGAAAAGCAGCCAACAAGTGCTCAGCATATGTGGGAGCATATTCCTCCCCAGGAGACTAAAAAGATTTGGCATGGGTCCTCAGATCCTCAAATACAGCTGCACCATCGAGAGCATCCTGACTGGTTGCATCACCGCCTGGTATGGCAAATGCTCGGCCTCCGACCGCAATGCACTACAGAGGGTAGTGTGTACGGCCCAGTACATCACTCGGGCCAAGCTTCCAGCCATCCAGGACCTCTATACCAGGCAGTGTCAGAGGAAGGCCCTAAAAATGTTCAAAGACTCCAGCCACCCTAGTCATAGACTGTTCTCTCTGCTACCGCATGGCAAGCGGTACCGAAGCGCGAAGTCTAGGTCCAAAAGGCTTCTTAACAGCTTCTACCCCGAAGCCATAAGACTCCTGAGCTAATCAAATGGCTACCCGGACTATTTGCGTTGTCTTCCGCCCACCCCCTCTTTTAACGCTGCTGCTACTCTCTGTTTATTATCTATGCATAGTCACTTTAACTCTACCTACATGTACATATTACCTCAATTACTTCGACTAACCTGTGCCCCCAAACATTGACTCTGTACCGTTACCCCCTTGTATATAGCCTCGCTACTGTTATTTTACTGCTGCTCTTTAATTTTTTTACTTAACACTTATTTTTCTTTAAGCTGCATTGTTGGTTAAGGGCTTGTAAGTAAGCATTTCACTGTAAGGTCTACACCTGTTGTATTCGGCGCATGTGAAAAATAAACATTAGATTTTATTTGAAGACTGTTGGAAAAGCATTTCTCATGAAGCTGGTTGAGAGAATGCCAAGAGTGTGCAACGCTGTCATCAAGGCAAAGGGTGGCTACTTTGAGGAATCTAAAATTTAAAATATATTTTGATTTGTTTAACACTTTTTTGGTTACTACATGATTCCGTATGTGTTATGTCATCATTTTGATGTCTTCACTATTATTCTACAATGTAGAAAATACACTGCTCAAAAAAATAAAGGGAACACTAAAATAACACATCCTAGATCTGAATGAATGAAATAATCTTATTAAATACTTTTTTCTTTACATAGTTGAATGTGCTGACAACAAAATCACACACAAATTATCAATGAAAATCAAATGTATCAACCCATGGAGGTCTGGATTTGGAGTCACCCTCAAAATTAAAGTGGAAAACCACACTACAGGCTGATCCAACTTTGATGTAATGTCCTTAAAACAAGTCAAAATGAGGCTCAGTAGTGTGTGTGGCCTCCACGTGCCTGTATGACCTCCCTACAACGCCTGGGCATGCTCCTGATGAGGTGGCGGATGGTCTCCTGAGGGATCTCCTCCCAGACCTGGACTAAAGCATCCGCCAACTCCTGGACAGTCTGTGGTGCAACGTGGCGTTGGTGGATGGAGCGAGACATGATGTCCCAGATGTGCTCAATTGGATTCAGGTCTGGGGAATGGGCGGGCCAGTCCATAGCATCAATGCCTTCCTCTTGCAGGAACTGCTGACACACTCCAGCCACATGAGGTCTAGTATTGTCTTGCATTAGGAGGAACCCAGGGCCAACCGCACCAGCATATGGTCTCACAAGGGGTCTGAGGATCTCATCTCGGTACCTAATGGCAGTCAGGCTACCTCTGGCGAGCACATGGAGGGCTGTGCGGCCCCCCAAAGAAATGCCACCCCACACCATGACTGACCCACCGCCAAACCGGTCATGCTGGAGGATGTTGCAGGCAGCAGAACGTTCTCCACGGCGTCTCCAGACTCTGTCACGTCTGTCACATGTGCTCAGTGTGAACCTGCTTTCATCTGTGAAGAGCACAGGGCGCCAGTGGCGAATTTGCCAATCTTGGTGTTCTCTGGCAAATGCCAAACGTCCTGCACGGTGTTGGGCTGTAAGCACAACCCCACCTGTGGATGTCGGGCCCTCATACCACCCTCATGGAGTCTGTTTCTGACCATTTGAGCAGACACATGCACATTTGTGGCCTGCTGGAGGTCATTTTGCAGGGCTCTGGCAGTGCTCCTCCTGCTCCTCCTTGCACAAAGGCGGCGGTAGCAGTCCTGCTGCTGGGTTGTTGCCCTCCTACGGCCTCCTCCACGTCTCCTGATGTACTGGCCTGTCTCCTGGTAGCGCCTCCATGCTCTGGACACTACGCTGACAGACACAGCAAACCTTCTTTCCACAGCTCGCATTGATGTGCCATCCTGGATGAGCTGCACTACCTGAGCCACTTGTGTGGGTTGTAGACTCCGTCTCATGCTACCACTAGAGTGAAAGCACCGCCAACATTCAAAAGTGACCAAAACATCAGCCAGGAAGCATAGGAACTGAGAAGTGGTCTGTGGTCACCACCTGCAAAACCAGTCCTTTATTGGGGGTGTCTTGCTAATTGCCTATAATTTCCACCTGTTGTCTATTCCATTTGCACAACAGCATGTGCAATTTATTGTCAATCAGTGTTGCTTCCTAAGTGGACAGTTTGATTTCACAGAAGTGTGATTGACTTGGAGTTACATTGTGTTGTTTAAGTGTTCCCTTTATTTTCTTGAGCAGTGTAGTAAAAATAAAGAAAAACCCTTGAATGAGTAGGTGTGTCCAAACTTTTGACTGGTACTGTGTATATATTTTTTCCTCCAAATACTTGGGCCGCCAAATAAAACCACCCCCGGGCCAAATTCGGCCAGCGGGCCACCAGTTGAGGAACCCTGTTCTAACGTTTAACGTACTTGGTAATCTAGGGATTTAGTTGCAGGGCTGTCAGAGGTAAAAAATAATTGTTCGTAATGAGTCATTCAGAAAAATACATGTCAAGAGATAAACATGGTAAAGGTATTGTTGCAGCAACAATACAAGACATTTAACCCAATGAAGGAGAGAGAGAAATGGAAAATAACAACAATACTTCTCCTTCGCTCTACCCCCCTGCAGTATTTACTGCATTTTTACTCATTCTAGTCATGGTCTCCATATTTTATTAAAACTAGCTTTTAAAAGTCTCCCAGCTATTGCAAAACAATCTTCACCAGAGTCCCTTTAACCAGATATTTTACATTTACATTTTAGTCATTTAGCAGACGCTCTTATCCAGAGTGACTTACAGTTAGTGAGTGCATATATTTTTCATACTGGCCCCCCGTGGGAATCGAACCCACAACCCTGGCGTTGCAAGCGCCATGCTCTACCAACTGAGCTACAGGAGGCCTGCCTGTATGTTGTCTAGTCTCTGTCTGTCTGTCTGTCTGTCTGTCCGCCTCTCTATCCTCTCAACCTTGGGTATGGTTCTTCACCGGCCCAGAAAACTCAGTAAACCTTACCCTGCTGTTGCCAACTACCCAAGGCCCTGTAAAAACATATTGAAGTGGAACACACACACACACACACACACACACACACAATGTTGTGGCAAGTATAGGTGGATTGATTGTAAAAATATGCTTATAAGAGGGACTCGACCTTGCTTATGAAATCCACTTTTTACCATTTATCTTCCATTAAATAAGATGTATTGGTGGGCTGTGTTTTTATACGTAGGCTTGTACACACTGCTGGGATATAATTTGATTGAGCTTGACTGCTTTTTGTCTGTTTTGGAAATGAAAACTGCTTTCATGCCCTGAACTAACTCCCCATCGCTTTCTTCTCTCCCTCTTTCTCTCTCTTCTCTTCTTTCTTCTCTCTCTCTCTTCTCTCCTCTCTTTCTTCTCTTCTCGCTCACTCTCCTTAATTTTTTTCTCCAGAGAGGAGCTGCAGGGGTTTGTGGGTAAAGGAACCCTGACCCATCTGAAAGTGTCTTTCTCGCGAGACACTCGGATGGGGACAGAGACCGAGACAGGACCTAGATACGTCCAACACAACCTGCTCCTCCATGCCAAAGACATCACCAACCTTCTCCTCAAGGAGAATGGATACCTCTACATCTGCGGGTGAGCTCCATTTTGATGGTGGTGATGATGATGTCAATAGGAAAACCATGGAATAGTCTGGTTCATTGAGCTCATTATTTTAGTGGCTGTGGATTTAGTGGATCTGGATTTACTGACTTTCTTACTTTGCTCCCACAGTGATGCTAAGAACATGGCTAAAGACGTGAACGAAACCCTGATAGAGATGGTATCAGCAGAGCTTCAGCAGGATAAACTAGATGCCATGAAGAGATTGGCTGGACTCAGGGAGGAGAAACGCTATCTACAGGACATATGGAGCTGAGTGGATGAATCTTCAACATATCTTATGTCGCAGACTGAAAAGGTCCATATATAATTTTTGTGGGCCATTAATTTCCTTTCAGCAACACATAAACTGACCATATGGATTGGGTTGCATGTTGTTCCTCTTGCCTCATAGCACCTGACAATAAACTTAATAAACTGACCATATAAGATTGAGTTTAAGTACTGTAGTTTTATAGTGGAATTATGCAAGAATAACACACTACTTACTCCTCATCCTACTTCACATTCTTGTCTTCCAATACCTTTTCGCTGTGTGCAAAAATGTGTCAAATACAAAAGGTGTGTTTGCTTGAAAAGCTTTAAAGGTCTCTGATGTGTTTCTTATGCTCACTGTATGATGATAAAATGAGTGATATGGTGGGTGAAACTTATCTTGGCACGCGTACAAGACGAGATGAAACTCATTCAGAGATAACGATCAAATGTAATGAATTTGGATTGATATGGGATGATTGCATTTTAATTTGAGAATAATTCAATTGTTCAAGGTGACTTTCCTCACTAGATGAAGCCGTAGTCGGCGGTTAGTTAATTGAAGGATTTTCGCTATGGGCCTTCCACCGTACCCTAGAGAGAGACTTCTCAGAATTAAATCTTCAAACACTGCTAGTCTTTTTATATCAGCAGGCCTCTTGTAAGGATGGGAGAGGAAAACATGTTTACAATCTCCACAGCTGGGCCGGGCTAGACTGGGCTGGTGCTCCGTATGAGAGTGGATGACGACAACGTCACACTCAATAAAGCTTCGCCAAGTAAACAAATCAACTTCTGCTTGTCTGTCAGAGGAAAGTATAGGCCTGTCCATGAGGTCGGATCGGGGTGGAAAATTGGTTACAGACTGGACAAATTGGAGGAATTTTAAACACAGTTCAATGAATACCAGAGCAGACGTTATCAATAAGTCTCAGCCACTTTCTCCTGCTGCTCCACTTTGTCAGAAGAGGATCAAATCAGTAGTGGTGGTTTGAAACCGTTGTCCCTGGAGCCTGGATGCCCGTCTCTCTTTCTGCTTTAGCCAACTCCTTTTGTTGTCATGACAACATGAGACCTGAGGGTCATATGGAATGATACAGGTTATGAGTCACCGAGGTCATCGTACTGTATAGACGTCACTAAACAGTGATGAGTGGTGATTTGTATTTTCATGCACAAAATGTTGTTGGACAAAATAGTTGGTTAAAGCAGACAAGCTGGCATCCAGGCCATCCATCTGAGTGTCAGGGAGGAATTACAGGCTGCATGAGTCACCAAAGCTGTTTTATAAACGTCACTGAATAAGGTGGAAAGGAGTTGGTTATTGAATGTGATGACTGGTCTTTTCATTAATCCACAATCCACAAACGTTATCATGCAGCTATCATTCTTTTTTTCGTTCAAATATTTTTTATTGAACACACACAAGAATGGTGTATAGGTATGAAAGACATGTGTACAGTTCTTATCTAAACATAAGAGAACAGACATGAACAACAAGACCCAGAGTTCTGGACACAAAACCAATATTACAAAACACGACATACAGAACAGGGACAGGAAGAAAGAAAAAGGGTAGATGTAACCCCCCCACTTATACCCCACTTCATCCCCCCCCCAGTGGCGGCTCCTGAAAAAATTCTCAGGGGGGGCAATTTTTCTGATGATTTAGGTGACCTACACACATTTAAAAAAAGATATGTCCAGCAACAACATGAAGACAGGGGCAGCATATAAGTCAATGCCAGAAGCATTTATTGACTGATCTCAAAAGTGTTGGCTTACAAAAGCAACATAAGTTATCACAGTAAAAATAATCAAGGGTGTTCTTTCACATTCCTCAACACTGCATAAACAATATGCATTTCCATAAACAAATGAAATATCAGCTGAAAATACAGCATCTTGGTATTTGTTCAGATTGCAGGATCAACAAGAGCTTTTACCACATTTTTTGCCTCATGGTTGAATTGGAAATATGTGCACCTGAGCATAATTCACAACAAGCAAGCAGGAGCTTTTGATAGAGGCTACTGAAAACATTGATGCAAGTTATTGGTAATAATAAATTTTTATAGACTTCCATATTCTGCCCTATTGTATAGATTTGTGAAAATGAACAGTGATAGACATTTTGCCTGAAAACAGAATTTGAAAATAATTTCTAGAAAAGGTAAACACAGCTATCTGTATGGCTTTGTAAAAATGAACAACCATATTCTGGCCAATTGTATAGATTTGTAAATATGAACAACCATATTCTGGCCAATTGTATAGATTTGTAAAAATGAACATTAACAGATTATTATTATTTTTTTACTTTTTTAAAAATGAAAAATAACTATTTTAAACAACATCAACTGTGAACTGATTTGGGCGTGTGTGTGTTAAAGAGACAGACAGGGAGGGACAAAGAGAGAGAGAGGCTACATTACTTGTACTGAAACTGTTCTCTTCTCTCTTTCAATGCAGCAAAGCGGTCAATGACTTTCTCATTGAAATCAGGCATGCTGAGGACTAGTTCACTCTCCATGGAAAGCATGGCCAGTGCATTCAGACGTTCCTGGCCCATTGAATTTCGCAGGAATGTCTTAACTCGTGTCAAAGTTGAGAAACATCTCTCAGCTTCAGCTGTTGTCATGGGAGTAGTTATGAGGATGTTCAACAGAGTCACAGTCTCAGAGAACGTCTCCTGGAGGTTGTAGCTCATGAGAACCTGGTACAGTGCCAGTGCACCACAGTTTGACTTTCTCGTCGTAGGCAAAAAGACCGTTCAGTCTCTCCAAAAGCACACTGGCGATTGAGACTGAGGTTGATTCCGAGATGGGAAGGAACTCAAAAAAGCGCTCCTGCACTTTGTGGTTGCTATCTATGTACCTCAGCACAAGCACCAGCTGTGTCTGTGTAGAAACGTCCGTGGTCTCGTCAGCTTGGATAGCTACGAAGTTCGCCGACTTCACCTCCTCCACAATATGTTCCCTCATGACCGCTAGCATACACTCCAGTAGCTCGTTTTGAATGGTCTTTGATGTGAACTTCTTTCAAAGAGACAATCGAGTTGCACTGAAGGCTAGCCATCTTGATAGTAGTACGTGAATTGATTGACGCTGCTACCCGCTCTTTTCTTAGTTACGTTCATGGTTATGTTACGTATGACGAAAGCGCGTAAGTGCAAGCCCTCAGAAACCCATAGAGATTGTATTGAAAGCTCTGATATTTGAAGAAAAAAGATTTTACATGACAGGCTATGAGAGACTTCTGGGCGATTTTCAACCTGACTGAAATCGCCCCAAAAGGGGCGGGGCCATTTGAAGCACGACTTTAGCCTGATTGGACATTTAGTGGCAGATCAGACGTCTAGATTAGAACACTGATAACTACTGTTGCCGTGATATAATTGATTAGAAAAAAAATCCCTTCCTTTTCCCGTTTGGCAGTGCGTCGCCCATATCGCCCTAATGAACACACCGCCCCTGCCCCCCCCCCCCCCCCCCTATTCCACCCTATTCCCCTCCCAACTGCTCGAGTGTCAGGGCCAGCACACGCTGCCCAAAGGTAGATTACAATATGACAATTGAGAGTGCGTTAAAAAGTACAAATTCACAGCACCGACTGGTCCAGGTAAGAGAGGAAAGGCTGCCAGATTTGATCAAATGTTGATAATTTATTGCAGCTATCATTCTTAACCAAATTTTTTGGGGTGGTGGCAAAAATCAGTAGGCCTTGGTAGCTAGAGAACAAATTATCATTCCCTGCTAAAGGACAAAAGAGAAGTTAAGCAATTGCTTACAGTGCATTCGGAAAGTATTCAGACCCCTTCCCTTTTTCCACATTTTGTTACATTACAGCCTTATTCTAAAATTGATTAAATATTTGTTTTCTCTCATCAATCTACACACAATACACCATAATGATAAAGCGAAAACAGGTTTTTAGAAATTTTTGCAAATGTATAAAGAGATAAAAACCAATACCTTATTTACATACGTATTCCGACACTTTGCTATGAGACTCAAAATTGAGCTCAGGTGTATCCTGTTTCCATTGATCATCCTTGAGATGTTTCTACAACTTGATTGGAGTCCACCTGTGGTAAATTCAATGGATTGGACATGATTTGGAAAGGCACACACCTGTCTATATAAGGTCGAAGGAATTGTCCGTTGAGCTCAGAGACAGGATTGTGTCAAGGCACAGATCTGGGGAAGGGTACCAAAACAATTCTGCAGCATTGAAGGTCCCCAAGAACACAGTGGCTTCCAGCATTCTTAAATGGAAGAAGTTTGGAACCACCAAGACTCTTCCTAGAGCTGGCCGCCTGTCAAAACTGAGCAATCGGGGGAGAAGGGCCTTGGTCAGGGAGGTGAACAAGAACCCAATGGTCACTCTGACAAAGCTCCGGAGTTCCTCTGTGGAGATGGGAGAACCATCCAGAAGGACAACCATCTCTGCAGAACTCCACCAAATCAGGCCTTTATGGTAGAGTGGCCAGACGGAAGCCACTTCTCAGTAAAAGGCAGATGACAGCCTGCTTGGAGTTTGCCAAAAGGCGCCTAAAGGACTCTCAGACCATGAGAAACAAGATTCTCTGGTCTGATGAAACCAAGATTGAACTCTTTGGCTTGAATGCCAAGTGTCACGTCTGGAGGAAACCTGGCACCATCCCTACGGTGAAGCAAGGTGGTGGCAGCATCATGCTGTGGGGATGTTTTTCAGCTGTAGGGACTGGGAGACTATTCAGGATCAAGGGAAAGATGAACAGAGCAAAGTACAGAGAGATCCTTGATGAAAACCTGCTCCAGAGCGCTCAGGACCTCAGACTGGGGCGAAGGTTCACCTTCCAACAGGACAACGACCCTAAGCACACAGCCAAGACAACACAGGAGTGGCTTCGGAACAAGTCTCTGAATGTCCATGAGTGGCCCAGCCAGAGTCCGGACTTGAACCCGATCAAACATATCTGGAGAGACCTGAAAATAGCTGTGCAGCGACACTCCCAAT